AATCGAGCTTTAACCCGATAGAATGTTGGCCGATACTCAGATGTAAAAAATCATATAAAACTGTTTAAAACCCGGTTATAAAGCTGGTGAGTAACCGATGGTGGTAAAAATAGATTAAATGTAAGATGAAATCTAGTTAAAAACCTGGTTGTCCACCAAGGCTCAGGATTAAAACCTATTTTAATCGGTTCGTACCCGAGGTGCGAATCAGTTAAAAGCCCAGGTTATCACTAAACTGGAATGCGTTCTAAAAAACAATATTGTAAATGAGTGCGAGTAGGAGAACACCGGGCACTATGCACATTTTCGAGCCGGGTAAAATTAAAAAAAGTAATTTAAATAAGCAGTTTGCAATAACCGTATTACTTGGTTTTATTTGTATCGTAGCTCTAGCCATGCCAGGAAACCCGGCTAACATGGCTACTGTGGACGCACCCACTGTTAAGAAATTGCGAGGAAACAGCTTTTGCCATTTTCTTACAACAATGAGCTCCGTACATACACGGTGTATAACGCCAAATATAATATATACACATCTCTGACATATAGGATATATTATAGCAGCGGGCGCGTACGTCGAAAGCTCGAGCTGCACGCAGGCTTTTGTATATATAATACGTTCGATTCGCGCTCGCGAGTTGCAGTGAGCAAGTACGAGCACCGTTAAAAATGCATCATCCGCGCCGTATAATGCACACGTGTATACATACGTAGATACATGAGTGCGTACAGAACACAACGCAACAGCGCAGACGATGTGTACAAGAGATGAAGCGGCAGCAGCAGTTCGAGAGAGAGAGAGAGAGAGAGAGAGAGAAAGAAGCTATTGTTATTATTGCACGCGCGGCCCTCGCACGCGGAGGATAAATAGCTCGTCCGCGCTGCGCGTATACCTGGCCTAGCGTTTTCGCTAATACTTCAGCCGCGCGGCATATCTGAGCATAAATTAGCTGCGAGAGACTACTCTCGACTCGACGGCGAGAGATGCAAAGGTTGATGATGCCTGTGTATGCGCGAGTAACGTAAGTACACTGTACCTAACATTACTACTACTACTAAGCTGCGCGTGAGTGTGTTTAAAAGTTACGAGCCTCGGACAATTGTACATTTGAAAATGCACAACGTGTATTATTGCATAGCGCAGAGAAGGATCGTATCCGGAAGTTCGACGAGTTCGTTGCTGGAATAATACGCGCATAGTGACTGTATAACGTGACTGCCTATACGGCTAAGAGTCGGGCTGCTATAATTACTTAGGCAAATCGCGCGAGGGACTCTCTCTATATATCGGCGCGACGCGGACCGCCAACTAAAGCCGGAATGCGTAAAAAAGGTATTCGATATCTCTCTGCATATAACGGACGCAGCTCTCGTCGTCGTTGTCGCGCGCGCGCTTACCTCCATATAAGCAAAGACGCGTGCTGGTGGTGACTCATATCGCTCGCTGCTCATCCGCGTGTAATAAACTCCTTGTATCCAGCCAGCCATAGGCAGCACTCGCACGCGGACACACGTACCTATAAAGTGTACAATCAAACAAAGCACGCGCGGCCTATGGCACGGGGAGAAAGAGCCGAGAGAGAGAGATCCGCTTTGGTCCGTATATGTAGATACAACCTGAGTAACTTGCACACACACGTGTATATGGGCATGACGGCCCTTTAAACACGCAGCTGCCTCGAGAGTCGAGGCTCTATTGTGCTTGGGAACCGGAGTCGAGTCTGCGCACCCACGCTTATGTACGTATATATACCGAAAAGACAAAAAAATTACGAAAAAGGAGTTGAGGAAAAAAAGCAAGAAAGGAAAAGAGCAGCGATTCGCAAGCTTCGCACACACAGCAGGAATGAGGAGTCGCGAGTCACGTGTGTACTCGATACACCTATAGCAGAGGCGCGAGTTCTGCGAAATTCTATTAAAAAAAAGTATCCATACGAATTTAATATCGCACCGGGGATACGAGCGAAAGAAAAATCGAGTATATAGCCGGCAGGGATCGGCACGCGTCGGTACGTAACGCTACGCATCCTATACACATTCGCATCGTTGCTCGTAGCTCGAGCAAGCTGCACTATACACATAATGCGGTAAAAGACCCAACCGGAAACTCTTCTCTTGTGCTCCGGTGTTTCGCGTGCGTATTATATACACACATACACGTACGTGCGTGTAATGCGTATGCGTAGATACAAGTTCGTGCGTGTGTGCGTATTTATATAGGCCTGGTGCACTCGGTTCGCGTACATCATAACGTATGCAGAAGGTATTTAACGATATACATACGGGCGCAACGCACCGTGCACGCACTGTACACAAGTTGGAGAAAAAAAAGGCCGAAGGATGCGCTCTACGTCGTAGTCGCGTGTTTTTCGCGGTGAAATCGCGGAGCGCGCAACAACATTTCGCCGAGCGAGCGCAAGGTCATGCGGGATGCAGCAGTATATACAATGTAATATGCACACGCGTATATGCACGACGCGACTCGAGAACTCCTTTTTCCATTTCATTCCGCTATGGTTTACATACAGGCTGGACGCGAGCGAGAGAAAGAGAGTCGATGTTTACGGCTGCGTATGCGTCAATCTCGTGTGCACGGTTGTCCGCCGCCGCCGCGTATTACAATAACCCTCGCGCATGGTTCACCGTATTATAATATAATTACGCCTATGTGTGTGTAATACGCTGAGAATGTAACGTGAATGCGAAAAAAAACGCGAACTATGCGTCACACGGGCGCGCGACGACCACGACGACGACAACGGCGATCGTCTTATGCAAGTGCAAGGCATTCTTTTTAAACGAGAAAAAGTGGAGAGAAAAAATAGCAATAATTATAATTATCATCGAGTAGTAATAAAGTCGTTCGCACCGAGTGTCAGTGACAAGTGTCGCATGCGTATTGCTTTTATATTAGCAATTTATGGACTACACATTTGCGTGTGTTAAATTGCTGCAAAAACTATGTACGTGAAAAAAATAAATAAACAAACGAGACCGCGACGACTCGTGCATCCTTTCATCTTATTTCCTCTATAGTTCTCATGGCTAGGAAATCTCTGATTTATCAAAATTTTCAGAGCGTTGTGTATTTTATTTGTCTATATTTGTATACCGTCGCAAGTTTTGATAAATATCTTTATAATTAGGTGTACGGATTACGGATAAATTGAGTATTCGGCTGCTACTTTGTTGTTACTAATTTTTCATCGCTACAGAACTTACAAATTGCCTTCAATACGAGCTGTGTGTTTACATTCGCTCTTTGAATAATGATCACCGATCTCTCAACGCGCTTGTACATTATATTTATATAAATACTTTAGTAATAATAAAATATTGCGCATTCGACGCCAACGCGGTAAGATAATTCGACTCGAGTTGCTCAAGTAAGTGGCAAATAAATAATACATCCATTTGATATCAAGGAATTGATTCGAGAGTTGTGTACATATTCGAGTCGCGCGTTCGCCCAAGGATTTTATAGAAAAAAGCGCATGTACGTACGTACATGTATACGATTTCTGTAATCGCGCCGAGATTGCTTTGTTTTGTGCTCGAACGAGCTCTCCCGCAGCTGTTACTTCTTGCACACTTGGCCAATGCATATATAGCCTCCATATAACGCAAACACTCTGCCTAGCGTATAAAAAGCGTGTTGGTCTTAATTATCCATCGCACAAAGAAGAAGAAAAAAAAGCAGCCTAGCTCGTTTTATGTGTACACGCACAAAGCGAACGACTAGAAAATTATATGCCGTTTTTTTTTCTATCTCCATCTCCCTCTTTCTACACACATTCTAGAAAGATGAAAGAAGAGAGTTATTAGCGTATCGCAACGTGTTATACAGTTACAGCGAGAATTGCAACGGGGAAGATGATTTCGCTCGATTCTTCTTCATCTTCTTTTTTTTTTTTTTTTCAACGTCGCAATCGCTTCGAGATCAACGCGCGCCCGAGCGAGCGCGCAAATGAGGCATAATATAACGACGTTATAAGTGCAGAGCCCTCCCGCGTGCCCGCGAAAAAAGAAATATACAACGCGAGGTTTCGAAATTGTGAAATCGGCATTGTCAGGGGAACGGCGCGTCGTGGTAATGTACATTTACAAGCGCAATTTTGTAACGCTGGTCGCTGATCGCGCGGGGGGGTGACGCGTACCCATATAATACAGCACTCGATGTAAATGATGAATCTGCATGAATCTTGTTTGGGCGATGATAAACATTTCGAGAGAGAAAGTTTCGTTAGTGGCGCGTAAATATTGCATACGTCAAAGTCTTGTGTACCGTACAGAGATAATACGGAGGCCCAGAAGGTTTTCGTTGCTGGCGGAGCGACAAAATTGCATTCAAGTTTTTTTTCACGTCGTTTGACACTCTGATAACAAATATATGCAAGACAGATTTGTTGAAAGCGATGGGAGACATTTCTTCCATATTAGTAAAATTGATTTAGTTTTTTGTTGTTCTTTTCAATAAAATCTTGCATTGACTCTTTTAATGAATCGATCTTGTTTATTCGTAATAGAGGTATCAAAAAACATAAAAAAAATCAGTAATTGAAAAATTCGGATGAAGTCTCGAATCGACGAATGGCTCTGTGACGTCAATGCATTATGAAACATCTATTAAAATTATCGAAGCAACTGTTCTAGTTATTTTATTACCACCTGCAGCTCCAATGAGTGATCGAACTTGATTCCTGATAGCTCGTGAAACCGTTATGACTTTATCGTTGCGAGTTCAGAAATATATTTCTTCTCTTTTGTGCGTATGTTTTTCCCATATAATATCATACACTAGTTAAATGTGCGCCTGAATGAATGACATTTTCATTACCATTTCGGCATATTTTTAATGTCATGCGAGTCCTTCTAGAGTAAACGACCAGTCAAAAGTAGAGGGAGAACGTATTGCCTAAGAAGCTATCTCAATCGTGCGCAACTCGCTAATATACTGCTATACGAGTAGTGCGTTTGGTCGCAATAGCAAAGAGCTGAATTCTAGTACAAAGCAAGTGTTTACAAATTGGTGCGAATTCGAGGTACAGTGTTGGCTACTCGAGGCACATAACCTCGAATATTTTCTTAATATAAATCGTGAAAACTCACAGTAAATACCTACAATCTGAGACCGAGCGAGCGTTAGCGAGCGAAGAACGCCGCTAGTACCTATTACCAAGCTAAAGATGGAAAACTCAGAAAACGCAGTCAGGTATGACTTTTTTCAACACTGAAAAACATCTTAGAGGCAAGCCCAACAAAAGTGGACAGCTGGATCGGAAAAAGATATTTTGATGCCACAGCAAAAAATTAAGCAAAATTTATCATTGAAATATAGTCCAATAATTTTGCTGTGGCAGAAAAATATCTTTTTTCGATCCTGCTATCCACTTTTGTCGGACTTGACACTAAGATTTTGTTTCAGTGAAGCATGACATAAAATTTTTTGAAGCCATAACCTCATCAAACTTTATTATTTTTCAGAATGAAAGAAGAACCGAATGACACCTGGTTAAATGCAGGCACCGATTATAATTTTGATTCGGTGGGTTCTTGCGAAATCAAAAACATTATAAATATTCTGTTTTTCCAATATCCGAAATTAATCAATAATTTTAATTTTAGGCAAATCAAACGGGTGAGATTGAAGAGTTACAAGAAAAGTTGGACCAAAAAATATTCGTAGATTTCGAATGCAAAGATGTTAAATCTGAACCGAAATCTTTTTCGACAAAAATCTGCAAAACTGAAGATCCAAGTAATCCACCAGTTGTGAAAATAGAAAACCAAAATCAGACAAATTATTTGAATGCAATATTGATTGATTTCGAGTGCAAAGATTTCAAACCTGAACTGAAGTCTTTATCAAAAACTAACTGCAAAACTGAGTATCAAAGTTGTCAACCAGTTATGAAAATAGAAAACCAAATTCAAACTTATCATACGAAACACGAAAGTGTAGGAACATATGAGAGTCAAACTTACAGTGATTTATTAGGATGCCAGAATAAACTTGAAGATCATGTTGATGTAATACAAGATCGTAGCAAACCGTTAAAATGTGAAGTTTGTCACAAATCATTTAAATTCCAAAGTAAACTAAAATTACACGTCAATGCAGCACATATCAAACCCTTTAAGTGTGAGATATGTAATAAGGCATTTGGAGATCAGTATCAACTCAAAAGGCACATGATGTCGGTACATAAACAGAACAAACCGTTTGAATGTGACATTTGTCAAAAATCATTTGGACGAAAAAGTCACCTCACACTTCACATAAATGCAGTACATCTTCGTAGCAAACCGTTCGATTGTGAGATTTGTCACAAATCATTTGGACAAATAAGTACCCTCAAACGTCACATAAATGCAGTACATGATCGTAGCAAACCCTACGAGTGTGAGATTTGTCACAAATCATTTGGACAAAAAGGTGATCTCAATAGACATATAAGAACAGTACATGACCGCAGCAAACCCTTTGAATGTGATATTTGCCATAAATCATTTGGATACCCGAGTGGTCTCAAGAAACACATAAATGGAGTACATGAACGTATCAAATCTTTCTAATTCGAAATGTGTCACAAATCATTATCAGACAAGGGTATTCTCAATAAACACATGAATGTAATACAAACATGTGTACAGAAAACCCTATAAGCGTGAAATTTTCTGAAAGTACTTGGATGCATTGAAGACTTTCGCAATTTCATTAGTACGCTACGTAAATTCAAAAATCTTTCTTGTCAATATGCTTTAGTTTTGTGAAGAACAATAAAATGTTTCAAACTATTGATTGTTTTTTTGGGACTTTGAAAAATATCATATTTATCTCTCTGACTTTATGTAAAATATAAACAAGATCTCAAATACCTACTCCATATTGATATGCTAGTAAGAGATCCTTACTTCGAAACATAACATTCAATAGCTTCAATGGTATATAAAAAAAGCTATGAAGAAAGATGTGTCTTCAAAAATCTAAAAATTCTTATAACGTCTTTGTTTCTTACTCTAATCCCCGATAGAATTTTTATTTGTAAACAAAAAACAGCTCGATGAACGCGATATTGCTCAATCGTCGTCAACGAGTGCGTAAAGTGTCGCTCCGGAATGAGGAGTATATGTCTTATAAGTGATCTTTTTCGGTTCGCGAGGACGCACGAGTGTGTGCTGCTGCATACGCGTGTAATATATCCTCGCTGCAGGTATCGCGTGTATTACACGTGCGCAGACTGCAATGAATTTATACGCGGCAGCGTATATGTAGAAGTTCGCGCGACTCGAGGTCGCATCGCACGAATGCGTACTGTGTGTGTGTGTGTACAGTATAATAGAATCGCCACTGTGCTGCAGTGCTACCGGTGCCGTGCGATTGTGCACGCGGGAGCAAAGATAGCGAAAACGATAAGTCACACTTTCCGGTGTTATTATGCGTGTGCGTGTGTGTGGCTGTGTATATAAGTGCGCGTGTGCATAGCGTGTATCGCCGCCCCGGCGCGAGATCGCTCTTAATACGAACTCGCGTGGCGAAAACATCCTTAGTCCTGCGTGAAAAAGATGGGACTGAGGCACGTTTTTGCCGCTCGAGTTTATCAAGGTGGTTCTCGCGTTGGGTTCGGCGATATTGTGTGGCGCGTACCTATACACATCTGTGTGCGTCGTACACGTATACGTAATGTAATACTGCAGATAGCTGCGATGTGCAATATTGCTAGGCGCACGAGGTAGTATGAATATATGGGTAACATTTCGCACGACTGCGACGACGACGACGACGAATCTACGGCTCGTTGCTCCATGCAGTGTAGTGGGAGCTATATATACAGGTATTCCACGCGCGCGGATACTACCGGACTATAATATAATATGCGTGGATGTTGTTGGTGCACTGCTATGTCGTACATGCGATACCGATGTTTGCGTATTAATATGTACGTACCTAGAATCGCGTGCATATATGTATATACTGCATGTATGGGTATATTATATTTAGCATATAGGTACACAGACGAAGGCGCGCGGACATCGAGAGACCTTTGACGTGTACAACACATTCGCGAGGTATATTAGCCCATGCGGTTGCTCGGAAGCAAGCGCGAGTTGCCAGGGTCGGTTTGCATTTGTTCGGTTCGAGCTTCGACAAAGCGATGGCGATACTACGGATTTAATATGAATAAGTACCCGCGAACAGATATAAATTATGGATCAAAACTGGAATGACTGTAATGGATCGGATGATTATGATACTTGCTTATCTAGTAGCAGCTTTTTTTCTCGCTTGCGGGAACTATCCCGACTCAAAGCGACATCACGCGGCAAGTCGGAACAAACGTTTGAATTTCAACTTAATGTCGAGCTCGTGAAATTTCAGTTTGAATAAATTTCTTCCTATACGCTTATTTAAAATATGCTTTGATTATTTTGTATGATTCATTAAAAATAAATTCAATACAACTTGTGCGCGTGCACATACATGTGCCATACACGATGATCCATAAGGATGTTCAAAGTATAATGTCCCTCCATAACTTTCTACGATATATCAAGCCCAATTACCCCACGTGGAGAAGAATTTCATTACGCTCATTTTCAAGACAATATGCATACGTGGGAAAAATGTTTTCCAATATATTTCCTAGAACATCAACATTGAAATCATTCCAATTGTTGCCCACATAGCTTCTATCCGTATCTACTTTTAAGCGGAACATACTATATAATATACACATGAATCAAACAAACAGATCTCGCACGTGCTGCAAGTAAAACACAGCTAAAATAGGTAGACGCGTGCGTGTCTCTCGACCGCGAAAAAACGATACTATATATTTGGGCATATCTTTAAGACGTTGCGAACCACCAAACGTTATTATTATTTTTTTTTCTAACAGATCATTGGTCATACGGTCGGTGTCCTTGTGTCTGCGCTTTCTCTCGTTTCGATCCCGCTGCCACGTTGCAGTGGTATACATTATAGCCCGCTTGCGGTTTGACTTTTTACCGAGCGCTCGGGCACGAGGATAATATCGCGTCCAATGTCGAGGCGATCAACCTCGCGACTAACGTGTACGTGGCTCACGCTCACGTTGTAGCACCGTAGTTTACCTACATTAGAAACCAAAAGTGTATCCGCAGACATTTTATTAAGAAACACGAAATAAGCCTGACAAATGGTTGAAGCATATGAGACGCCTGAAAAGTTTTCCGCTTATATCTCGTGAATGACGCAAGATGTGGAAAATTCATGAATAGATATTTCGTGAAAATTCACGTCGAAATACACTTTGAATTTTAAAAGTGTCAGTGTAATTGTTCATAACATAGAAAATTAATTTAAAAGCGGTCGGCAGTGATGGAGGTCAACAGCGGGAGTGATCTATACGTGATCGGTTAACCTCAAACGGCGCCGACGGCTGATTTTTCGATATTAAGATCAATTTTGTATTGAATTAAAAAAAATTAAAGAGTACCTCGATGTGAAATTTCACTAGGAATATATCAGTGCAAAGTTCATGTTGACGCTGGGGTTGTATATAGGTAAAAAATAATTGTAAATTTGAGAAACATCGAGAGCATATTTCATAAGTTTTCCGAGGAAAAAAGTTCATGTAAAATTTCACTATAACTGAAAAGTATTTCTAAAGTAGTAAGAGTCAAGAGCGCAATAGCGGTATCAATACTTTGTATATCGTTTGTTATTATTATTATCATATGTGATATCGTTTATCTTTTATTATAAACGGTTTACGTACGGTTTAAGTATTGCCATCATTTTTATAAAGCAAGTGTGCAATAAATTTACAAAATTTTGGTGCAAAGAGAACATCACTAATCCATGATTTTAAATTTTTACATATTTATTATTTCTCGATAATAATGTACCAATGACAATATTATAGAAATTTTATGAGAGCTTCTCGGTAAAACGACACGTCTGACTCATTTAATCCGGTAACAATTAAAATGTGAAAGTCTATAGCATAGTACGGGCGGGGCTTATGCCTACCCATCTGTTATTACTATTGACACGTCATGCTATAAACACGAGACATCTCTATTACACTGGATTTATACTTTTTAATCTTTCTCTAGTTCATCGATGCTCTCTACATGTTTCTCGGAATAGCTCACACTATACTTGTATCTCTTATAGGAGACTAAATGATACCATAATGATCTCCCTACTCTGAGCTCTCAATGCACCGTTCCATAAGAAATACAGAAACTCCTTAGATCGAGTATACCTACTTTCTCCAATTTTAATGGGAAAATACACCAAAAGCATAGACGGCGCTGGGGTATCGTTCAGTCTCTAATATAGCTTCTAATACGTGTTCCTCACTACTTTTCGTACAGTGTATACGTACACATCGTCAGTAGACGTTCTGTGTAAACGTCGCAGCGTGATTAGCTAAGAAGCTCGCATCGACGGCAGCAAGTTATTTTTAAGAAAAAAAATATCTTGAATTTTAATAGTGTTTGTGTGTAATTTTACAAAGAACAATAGATATGGCTCCGAACCCTGAATCCGCTAAAACTTTCCATCTCGAAGAAATCAACATCAATGATTTCGAAAACAAGGCTGATCTTCCTCAGCAACATTTAGAAAAATTGATGAGCTTACGAGAAAACATCGATTGGGAGATCGAAGAAAGCCGACGCGAATTTCTCCATCAAGTTTACCCTGTAATCGGCAGTTGGAAGGGTCAATTTCCTGATCTCCAATACATTTTTGCGCCCGACGAAATTGAGATTCTCCTGCAGGATTCGATAAACCAGAGTGAAGGCGACGATCATCTCGAAGGAAAACGATTTATCAGGTTCGTGATCCTCAGCGGTTACAAAGACGAACCAGAAGTTAATGAAGATGGCAAGCCACTGTTGTCTCGTACCACAGCAGTGCATCGCGCGGCTAGGATTAATAATTGGGATTTCAAGGACATCATATCTAAATTGTTCAAAGTGTACGATAAATATGACTTGAACTACACCGACGAGTTCGGCTGTACCCATTTACACGTGGCTTGTGAGTTCAACTGTGTCGATGTCGTCAAGAAATTGATCGACATTGGATACGATGTTAATTGCTTTGAGCACGTGAGAGGTAATTCACCGCTACACTTAGCCTTGATGTACGGACACAAAAATTTAGTTGACTTGCTGCTGAGAAGCGGAGCCAACCCGAATTCACCCAACAAGGAAGGATCCACACCTCTGCACTTCATTGCATGGCGTAAAATAGATGACGATTTGGCGATGAAGTTTTTTGAGACATGCGATGACATCGAGCAGTCAGTGCAGGTAGATGCCAGGGACGAGTACGGTGACACACCGTTGCACTTGGCAATAATCGCCGGCAACAAAAACTTGACCAAGTTGCTGCTAGAAAGAGACGCCAACCCGAATACAGCCAACGAAGATGGACTGACCCCTCTGCACGTCATTTGTCAGCGAGATAACGACGGCGATGAATTAGCGCAGATATTCTTCCAGATCAATGAAATGAAGAGTCAGTTCGTGCATCTCAATGCTCTGGATAAATTAGGCAACACACCACTGCACTTCGCTCTGTACTACGGATTGAAGGGCACAGTCGAATTGCTGTTGAGCAGAGATGTCGAAGTGTCTATGGTCAACGATGACGGATTGACTCTTCTGCATATCATTTGCCAGAAAGAAAACGACGACGACTTGATAAAGAAATTGTTCAAAGTCAGCGACGACAATCGGCAGATGTTACAGATCAACGCCCAAGACAGGTGGGGCAACTCACCGTTGCTCTTGGCAGTGCAGAATGGAAATCACGCTGCTGTGGAATTTTTGCTGCGAAGAGGCGCCAGTCCGAATCTGGCCAATGCAGAGGGACTGACACCTATGCACATAATATGTGAGGCAGACTGTGATCATGAATTAGCAGAGATGATATTCGAAATCAGCGACATCAAATATCATCCGATCCACGTCGATGCCCAGGACGAAACTGGTAACACACCATTGCACGTGGCGGCATATTTCAGACAGCGGCTCGTGGCCGATTTACTGCTAAGAAAAGGCGCCAATCCGAACTTGGTTAACAAGGCAGGATGTACACCTCTGCATTTTATTTGCAATAACAAAGATATAGATGTTGACTTACTAAAGACATTCATCGAGATCAAAAATGAGATACAGCAGTCAGTGCAGTTAGATATTGGGGACAAGATTGGCGACACACCATTGCACTTGGCTGTGAAGCGCGAAAACTTGGAGGTAGTCGAATTGTTGCTGAGAAACGGCGCTGACCCGGATTTCGCCAACGAAGACGGATTAACCCCTCTGCACATTATTTGCCGGAGAACACACGACGACAACTTGGCGGAGATGTTCTTAAAAATTAATGAAAGTATCTCGCAGACTACACTGGTCGACGCCCGAGACAGTGGGGGCAACTCACCATTGCACTTGGCTCTGCGCAGGGAGAACCGGATGGCCGCCGAGGTGCTGCTCAGGAGCGGCGCAGATCCGAACTCGATCAACAAGGACGGACTGACACCACTGCACGTCATAAGCATGAGACGCCGTGATAATGATTTGCCCAAGATGTTGTTCGAGTTGAGCAACGACGTCGATCTGACGGTGCAGCTCGACATCCAGGACAAGTCAGGCAACACTCCATTGCACTTAGCTCTGGACCACGGCCTCGAGAAGGTGGCCGAACTGCTGCTGACAAACGGCGCCGATGCAAATTTACCCAACGCAGAAGGATTTACCGCTCTCCATATAATTTGTCAGAAATTTTTTGACGATGATTTGGCCGAGCTATTCTTCAAAATCAGCAAAGAAAGAAATCAACCGTTGCAAATTGATGCAAGGGACAAGTTGGGCCGGACACCGCTGCATTTGGCTCTGCAGTACGGCTTAATATACACAGCTGAATTGTTGCTGAGAAACGGCGCGAATCCGAACTTGGCCGACTTGGAGGGATCAACTTCTCTACACGTCATTTGCCAGAGAGAAGAAGACGACAACGACGATGAATTAGCGAATATATTTTTTGCCGTTATCGACGATATTGCGCAGTCAGTGCAGGTCGACGCGAAGGACAAGTTGGGCCGGACACCTCTACAATTGGCCGTGTCGAATCTCAAACTGGATGTGGTCAAGATTTTGTTGGATCGAGGGGCTGATCTGTCTAGTTTCGTTTTTCCCACTGCGGATCGAATCGACAAGAGATTACAACCAGAGCCGAATCAAAGCTTGCATAATTTCAAGTTGGAAGTAGTGATCGATGTTCTAAGCATTATCAAATTTCTCATGTCCAGAGGATACGAATTGAATCAAACCAACGCGATAAGGATCATGACATTCTTCACCGAGAGTAGATTGTTCGAGATGTTGGATACAGAAGAATCTTGGTATGACCAAGTGGAGTTCGCGGGCATAGCGAAAGAGATGACGATAAAAGATGACGATTCGGGCTTGTCGCTTTACCATCTCATCCAGTCACTACCCAAAGCGGCACCAAAAAAAAGTTTTATCACGCAATCGTACGACTATGATTTTGTGCCCGCATCTGGTTTTAATTCTCCGGATTCACTCAGTTCTCGCAGTGACTCGACACCTCATCATTCCCCTGATAGAATCAATGCTCGCAGCTCTTCCTCTGAGTCGTCGAGCAACAATCGTCGGCGAGGATTTTACTACAACTGAAGCCAATCAACGAGGACCCAGTAAACGAAGAGTTGTAATACCATATTTTTAGTATCATTTCATGTCTCGTGTTAATAAACATTGTCTGTCATTTGTATCATACAAATAAATAAATTTAAGTAAATCATTTCCGATTTTTCTATTAATAATCGCACGATCAGTTGAAATGAAAGATGTCAAAGTGTCTATCTAATTACCCCGGCACCTCATCAGGCCTCACTTCAGATTGTCAAATAATATTTAACTAAAATAGTTTTAAAGTCATATTATAAAATTAAAAAATGACAAAATTAATATATAATCGTTTTTTTTTCACAATCAATTCAAATGGAAAGAAATGTTTACTAATAGTAACCGATTATTCTCTTTGTTTCCTGTGTCAAGAAGTCGAGAGGAAAGCGATTGAATTTGAAAAGATAATTAAAATTGTGATTGTTCGCAAATTTTTCTAGCTTCCTACAAAAACAATGACTAATATTCGCAAAAATGGTCTGATAATCAAAAAAAAATTTTATTTACTGTTATAGCAAAAAATTCGGCAAGGAAATGCTGAATTGGCTGATATATTTCAGCGGTAGATACTATCCGTGACGTCTACCGATTCTCGAACCGCGCGACAGCGACAGTAAGCAGCCAGAGACAACAAACTTTCACTCGGATTTTAACTTTTCATTAACTGGCTAAAGTCGATCGTTTCGCGAATTCCCGAAGGAAGGCGACTTTGAGCGGACTTGTAAAAACAGCGATCAACTTGACTCTTTATTTTGCATACGCAGAAAATTACAAGTGACTACAAAGCACAGCGCTCGTGTGTGTGTACACTCTGTGGGTGGAGTCTATAAATATAAGTACACATATATTAGCTCAACGCGATGTCGTCGTCGTCGTCTCTTCGCGCGCTAAGTAACAACAAATACATAAATACGCGGAGCTGCGAGGTAAACGTGTAGAAGCTCGTGTCTCTATGTGTGTGCTTGTCTGTGTACACATACTTGGTATTCGTCGCGCTGTCACAGCGATATATAAGTATAGGATTGCATAGACAGTAGAAAAAAAAATAGCGAGAGAAGCAGCCGCCCGCAGATCGGTTCGTAATATTATGTACAGGATATCGGCTGCGGGATTCGAATTACACTTTTCCGCGATGCTAATTCATGGTCAACTTTATAATATTGCTATAATGTATAATTATATAAGCTCTCATCTCTATCTCTATTTCGAAGGAATCGTCGCGACACGTGGACTCGTGATCTTTGAAAGCTATATATGACATGTTTTAGGCCACAGGATAAAAACACCCGTATACTTGCTGAGGTACACGTGCAATCTGCAAAGCACGAATACATTTAAACGGAGCAAATTTTACACACAAATTCCAGAGTCTCCAGAGTATATTACATATTTGTAAGGTATCATGGCAAACGCGACCGCGACAGTAAAAGGTATAGTTGAGCCCGTCATCCTTAGAGAATTTTTAGATAATAATATACTCATAGCTGCATGTACGCTCAAGGCATCAAGTTCATCATCATCGTCATCATCGTATCATTGCATTTAAATATGTACCTTTGCGCGGGTACGCAAGACGAGTAGGCGTCAGCAGCACTGGTAGCAGTAGCAGATCCAACGTCGTTTTCGTCGTTGTCATACCGCTGCTGGTGCAGCGATTGCACTCCTCGATGTTGCTGCTGTTTCTTCTTCTGCTGTTGTTGTTGTTGTTGTTGTGGTCGCGGCTCAGGCAGCAGCGTATCCGGTACTGCGACGAGAAGCAATGTAGCCCGTGATAGCAGCAGTACAGCAGCAGTAAGCAAAGAGGCAGAAGAAGAAAGAGGTGGAGGTAGAGCAAGAGGAGGCGACTGCGACGACGACGATATAAGGCTGAGGCAGCAGCTACTATAACTAAGACCAGGTAGATCTGGCATCGCTGCGCGCGGGCACACGCGAGCCTTACATTCTCCTCTCCTCTCTGCTGCTGCTGCTGCTCTCTTGTATTATATGGCTTATAATACTGGCTTGGCTTGCTGGTTCTTGTACGTAGACGGGGCTCTCCCCGCGACTCCGACACACAGACAGCTCAGCTACGGCAGCAGCAGCTTCTTGTTGCGATACACATATATATATATCGGGTATCGTTTTATATTAATGCAAAATGCGCGCCTCTACATAATGGTGGGTATACCACCAGCCGCAGTCGCAGTCATTGTCGCGCGCTGCTATGTTTTGGCGTTTATATACGTGTGTGTAGGCGCGTGCTGAGAGAGAGCCGATCGCGCAGATCGAGAGACACACACAGCTGTGTATAAGTGTCTGTCTGTGCTATAATAACGTTGCGAAAGGACTCTACAGCGGCACAGTCACAGCTCTCAGTCTGCGCTCCAGCGAAGAAAGAGAGAGAGAGAGAGAGAGAGAAAAAGGCTGCCCTCGCAATATCCTCTCACGAGTGTTGCTGCTGCTTATACATGCTATGTATATAATGCGCTCCGGAGCTCGCGTTCCTTCCTCGCAGCATATAAGAGTATGCCGTGCTCGAGAGCGACTGTCGATCGTCGGGGTCACACAAGAGAGACACTGATATAACTAACACTCACACACACCCACAATCGACACACGCACGCACAGACACTGTATAACTCTGATATTTATTTATTTCTTCACTTGGCACCAAAAAAAGCACACCGATCAACGACGATATGGATAATACGAAGGAACGCCGTATAGGAGCACCACTATATACTCTGCGCTTTACGTATACTGGTTGCGGAGAGCCTTTTGACAGTTCTCCGCGTCGTTCGGTGCAGCCGTTGTCGTGTCACTCGTGCGGGGCGCATCGAACGCCCAACGCATAGATCGGTGAATCGTCTCGCTCGATCGTGTGCCGTGGGGACACACGAAAATTGCACGCGATGCAGCACGTGTCGTCGAGCCGGGGGCTTTGTGTATATCTATAAAATGCGAATCGCGATGCGCAGTGGCGGTGTGCAGTTATGTGCACGCAGGATGGAGAAACGGAGTCGCGCACCCGCCGATGTTATATCCGTATGTATATCAACGCGAGGAGGAACGCACAGGTGGCTGACTGGATGACTATATAGTATGCAGCAGCAGCAGCAGTAGCGGCAGCGGCGCGTACATCCTATATAGCGCCTCCGAAAGGATCGGACCGACTCGTGTGCTGCTGCTATATCCGTCAGTGTGTGTGTGAGTTGGCAGAGTTATAGCAACACCGGGCGGCCGCCTCGTATACATAGAACGTGCAGGAGAAAATTTGCTCCGTGCCTCCTCTATATAACCTTTTCCTTCTAAATGCAACGTAAGAAGGGCTTACGTATATGCTGCTGCACAGGACACTGCACAGACACACACACGGATACACTCGCTCGTTCACTGCACTCTGCACACGAGCACAGGACGCGCACTCTGTGCACTATATATATATATATATATATCGTGCCACGATATACACGAAAACTTGGATGCAGCTCTCGTTTGAATTTGATCCGCGATTTTCGCGCGTCGCGCTCGCCTATTTTTTTTTAATTTTCTTCTTATTATTATAGCACTCGATTAGACACAGAAACACACTCGCTCGCGCACACACACACAGATGTTACGGAGGAGATAATAATATAAGAGACGTAGGCGAGAGAGAGAGAGTTACGCGAGCGTGCAGAAATTGTATTCACGGCTTGTACGTATATATACAGTACGTTATATACAACACGTTTGGATAGTGTTGGAGTGCTGTTGCTCTTTCTGCACAGCGCAGCGCGCTCGGCGTGGGTGCACTGTATATCTCGCGCAGTTTACACGCAGGGTTGCTGCTGTGCCTCTGGCACGCGTTCGAGACGTTCGTTTGTATTTAAAAATAAAAAAAAAAAAAGATTTCGCACTCGCTCCGCGCACCGGCCCGAGAGAGGCAGCTGCACTCGCGAGAGAGTCGCGAGAGATACTGAACCGAGTCCAAGCGAAACTTTCGCGCAACGGCGGAGCAGCACTCGGCAGTATAGTGGCAGCAGTCGTGGTATAGTCGGCGATGCGAACAGGTCGCGGCGATCAGCGCGCCGCTGCCGCCACCACCGCCGCCGCCGCCAACGAGGACAACGGCTTCCCCTTCTCCGACTACCTTTTGGCACAACAACACACTACTGTGCGCATGCACTAACACGGATAGAGATACGAACTGCACACTATCGTGCAGCCCTCCTGCGTGTTTGTATCTATATAGGTATACTGGTGTGAGTCGCGCGCGCGCGCGCACCACATTTGCACTATATGCCTCCGTTGCACTGGGCAGCATTGTACCAACGCCGAGTGCTATCGCACTGCCTACTCTCGTATACTCTTTCTCTCTCTCTCTCTCGTTTTTTCTTATACTCGTCGCACACTGATGCATTCAAAAGCTATACTGTGCACGCGCTTCGAATATAGGGGTGAATTAACATATATAAATAAATATCGTAAGAAATAAAGGGCAGTCGTGATGGCTTTGCACCTTATAGCCGAAATGCTTTGGTGGTTGAGTATTATATAACTTGACTGATGGTCCCGCGGAAACAACGACGATGTCAATTCGAATCTTCAATCCATATAATATCATAAAGTACGCACCATATGCATACCGTACACGGTTCTTTCTCTATCAAGTTATTATTAGTTTGAAATTTTTAAATGAGCTCCTTTTTATGCTTAAAATTGACTGCTTGAGAACTTATCTTGAGAATTTATCATTAGAAGATTAACAAAAAAAAAAAAATTTAAATAAGGCATGGTTTTTGCAGTTATTTGGTGTATGAAGTAAAAATTAAAGAACAAACCTTTGGAATATGTATTGAAGATGATTTAAAATTTCACTATAATAATTGTAATTTCCGTTGCTGATAAAATCTTCCGATAAAAGTATAGTTAGGTCATTATTTCCAACAGTAAAGTTATGAACATGATGAATGAGTTGACGATCACAAATAGGCAGTATATGTTTTGAAAATATATTTAAAATTTGTAAAATTATTCCAAAAGTTTTTGCTAAGGCCATTGTACAATCTACTTCTTAAAAAAATCTCTTTTTCTATTCTTTTATTTTTATTTCAATTTATTAAGTAATTTATTAAGTAAAGTAACTTAAAACGACTTCCGATTCGTAAAATTATACTGTACCTTGAGTCGAAATAAAATAAACAATTTTCATTAACTCAAATACAATTCACCAGTGAACAAAGGCCTTAAATTTTCATTTAAAAATTTTTATTGATTTTTTGAAAACTATAACATTATTTTTATATAGTGAGATAACATTGGAGGATCTGTATTAATCTATTAGGATCTGTAATTAATCTTCTGAACATGTATTAAATTTTATACGTCGTAAATCGTGATTGATTAACTGAATCGTTGTTGACCTCAAGACGTATCTTCATTGAAAATTTCTTTTCGCATTCAAAGCATTCATTTTAATCATTTTACATTGAGTTAATGTATTGCATGCATGTGACGATACCAAAATCCACCAAATCGATGTGGGTTTTCAAATTATGTTTAAGAATGAATGATTTTCCGCGTATATCACATCAGTGGGTGAAATCATTGTGCACTTTATGTTTGTGTTTTTTAAGATAATCTTTTCGTTTGAATGTCTTGCTACAAATATCACATGCACGAGTGACACCGTTGTGCACCGTGTCTATGTGAATTTGGAGATTAATATTTTTAGTGAACTTTTTTCCGCACTTATCGCATACACGTTTGACACCATTGTGCACCGAATCGATGTGGGTTTTGATAATATTTTTTCGTTTGAATGTCTTACAGCAAATATCATATGCATGAGTGATACCGTTGTGCACCGACTCAATGTGAACTTTGAGACTACATTTTTGAGTAAATGAATTTTCGCATATATCGCATTTATATTCGATGTTATTGTGCTTTGAATCGATGTGTTTAATGAGATTATTCTTGGTTGAGAATTTCTTTCCACAAATATCACATTCATAAGTGACACCGTTGTGCACCGAATCGATATGTTGTTTGAGATTGCTTTTCGTTGAAAATTTCTTCCTGCATATATCACAAGTAGGTGCGACATCATTGTGCATTATATCGATGTGGGCTTTAAGAATACTCTTCTTTGTGAATTTCTTTTCGCACAAATCACATGCATGAGTGGTACCTAAGTGCACCGAATCGATGTGGATTCTGAGATTAGCCTTACTTGTAAATTTTTTTCCGCATATGTCACATGCACATTTGACACCATTATGTACTGTATTGATGTGAGTTTTGAGATAACTTTTTTGAGTGAATGACTTTCCGCACGTATTGCATGCATGTGTAACACCATCATGCCTTGATTTAACGTGTCTATTCAGAGTAAACTTGTGTTTAAACGTCTTTCCACATGTTTTGCATGTATGGACTGCACCATTATGCCCCGTGTCAATGTGCCTTTCGAGATTAATTTTTCGTGAAAATGACTTTCCGCATACATCGCATTTATATTCAATCTTATCGTGCACCGAATCGATGTGTTTATTGAGGTCACTCTTAGTTGTGTATTTGTTTCCGCAAATATCACATGCATGACGGATACGCTTATGTACTGAATCAATGTGTTTTTTGAGATTACCTTTATTTAAATATTTTTTCCCACAAATACCACATGAAATATCTTCATTGTGCATCGCATCGATATGAATTTTGAGAATACTTTTTTTAGTGAATGATTTTCCGCATATATCGCATATATGAGAGATTTTTTTATGCACCGATTTGATGTGCACTTTAAAAGTACCTGCTTGAGAAAATTTCTTGCTGCATATATCGCATGAGAAGGTGATACCTTGATGGGCTGATTGAATATGCTTATTTAGATGACTCTTTCGATTATGAGTCTTTTCCCATATTTTACATGGGTGAGATGTAACATTATCTGTATCGATGTGTGTTTTGAGGTTATGTTTGTTGTTATACTTTTTTGCTACTTTTCTTCTTGTGTTTCGCTCAACAAGTTCACAATCCAAATTGAAATTCGATTCTTCTGAAATGTCACTAAAAATTTCCTGTTTCACTTCTCCTGCGGATTCTACTTTAATTATGTTTTCAGTCTTATGACCACCTCTGCCTTTCATGTTCCGCCAGAGATTTTGGGAACAATCAATTTTTTTTACTGTTAATGAATTAATGTGTGGCTTGACGTCTTCACATTCAACAACTATTTCCACTTCGTCGTCGAGTTCACTTTCGTGATTTTCTTCACACTTTTTAGGGGTATAGGTCTGTTGAAAAATTAAAACTATGTAAAAAAAGAAACGAGCATACGAGTTACAGTGATTATCATCACTTACCGAACTCTCTCGCGAAAATGATAAGAGTTGAACGTTTTTAAGATCTGGTTTTTCGTCAGTCATTTCCCAATTATTTCCAGTAAACGACCCATCATTTGGTTCCTCTTTAACTCTAAAATAACCCCAATAAGTTCAAGTATTTTGTGACAATATTTTTATGAATCACTCCCATAAAATGAAAATTACCTGATGCCAGAGTTAAACATATGATTGGATTCCATCTTTCTCTCATAGAATTTCGTTGACAGTTAATTAGTCTGCGCTGATCAAGCGAACAGTATCGCGTGAAAACTGGCGAACAGCACTGAGAGCTGTGGGCTCTCTTTGTTGTTTACGTCGTGCGTCGCATACGTGAGCTGCGTGCGGTGTGTTTGTCCGGCACGCGGTGTTTTGCCGTGCATGCCACATTGTATACGCAACGAGCAGTGCTGTGAACGGCGCAAAACGAAGTAATTGTAATTATATCATTGAAGAAATGACATTATTTATTTCAAGTTCAATGAATAGTAAACATTTTTCTTTCAAATATATAAATTATAGAAAAAAAGAGCAATCAAACAGATAGTATTCTAACATTTTTATATGGGAGTAGAGAACGTGGTTTAATATAATAATTAATTAATTAATAATTAATTCATTTCTTATAAAAAAGACTTGATTTTTCGGTCGAAATAGCTAACGGTTTTGTGTGTATATCTTAATGGCATATCATAGCTTATAACAAAAAATTAAAATTTTCCCGTTAAATCGGAAAAAAGCGTTGAATTATGAACGACGAACTTACTTTTGATTGACTTGAAATGTAAAATGTTATACGTTAGAATGTTCTACTTTTGAATCAGAAATATTGTAACTTGGTAAGTCACAGAATCAGAAAGATAATAGTTTGAAAGTTTTCTTTTTTGGAAAATTCGAAATTGTGATTTTTGAAGTGAGTGAGTTTTACCAGAGATCCAGAGAGTTTTACCATCTGACGAGTAACAAAACTTTTTTTCAAAATTAGACCACCCTGTACATGGGTAATTATCAAAAATTCAAAAAAATGACATATTTCAATAGCTTTTTTGGACTATAGGTATACACTCAATAATCATATTTTTACCTCATGATCATTACTCGCAACCCTTGAAAAAAATGTTGCGCATCCCATTTCAAGTCTAAGTTTTCTGGATAAAATGTGGATTAACTCATATAGTCCATATCCTTTCTTTACTCGCAGCAAAAGAGCAAGAGATCAGAGAGAAAAAAAGGTAAACGATGACTCATCGGCTACATCATTCGCACGTCTCCGGGGCCAACGCTCCGGATTTTCGACGCGCATATCGTAGTCTTTTGTGCTGCTGCATTTGCAGTTGCAGGTGGATATATACATATTTCATTGGACATATATAGCAATTGGATCGGTGCAGTGCGCGCGCGGAAGTGCACGACGCTGCTGCTGCTGCTGCTGCTGCCCGGCAGCTCCTTATTCATATATACACAGGTATATACACACACACATCCAGAACGTATAAGGTAGGCCGGTTGGCTATGAGCTTCGCGCAGCTCGCCGATCGCCGCGAGAGGAGTGTTTTATATATATTATATACGACGACGCGCCGAGCTCGTTCTCGACCCGGATAGGGTCACTGAACTCGTAGATCGCGCGACGCCACTAACAGCAACAGCAGCGGCAGCAGCTCCTGCCATTGCGCTCCCGCGTGTGTGTGTGCATCCTATATATACTGCACTGCCCACGTAGTACAACAACACATCATGCAGATGTGGCCGTGCGCGCAAGTGTGATTGACTCGATCTCCGCATCTTTTGAGTCATCTCGCCCAGAGCTTACGATATGCCTACTTATACGCAGATGTAAGGATAATGTATCCCGCCTCATAATGTGCGTAAACTGTACACGTGCAATCGAGGGATTCAATTTAAATACATTTTTTCTCGACCGTAATGAAACTTTTGTACATGATATGTGGTGCATCGGTGTGGGTGGGCAACGCGGATCCATCCGGTCGTGCGTCGGAGGCTCTCATAATACAATACACGTACAGTATTCAGGACTGCCGATCGTTGGCCCATAACGCTCTCTTGCGCGACATCCGATTTTTGCCCTTTCTATTATATTTCGAGCTACATCAGACCTGTGTCACTCTCGTATGTTGGCACTCAAGCACGCAAGACGATCTCTTATTGCATTATATTAACGGCAGAGTACCGGATCTTCTCTCGAAAATATCGATGAATACGATTGCGAACGTTTAGATTGATCACTATTCAGGAATAGTTTTTAAAATATGACATATTCTCACATATTTTTTGTCATAAGTAAATACAGAGCAATACGATCTACGTGGCATTTTTCGATGTATAAATATTTACAATATTTGCATTTGATTTTGAAAAATTAAATTATACTTCAGTAATTCTATAATATTTATTAGAAACAGCTTTTAAAGCTCTGAACTCAGCTACTAAACTCTTTCAAACTCTACTTACACTAAACACATTTAAGAAAAATGAATAACATACATACATATTTGTGACGTACTATTCTTTACAAATGACTATATTACAAAAATGTATTTACAATGCAAACTATAAGTTTAAACCTGCATAATTCAAAAATAAAGTAACAGAAGTCTGTGATTTTACAAAAAAAAACAAAAATATAAAAAAATGCGATGCCATATTTGCTAGATATTAATGATTATATAATGAACGATGAGAATATTCACTGATATTTAAACCAATTCACCAATTGGAGCACTTTGGAGCCATAAGTCATGGAAATAGTTGTATAAACTCTCACTGACAGATACCTACATAACAATAACGAACATAATTTAGGACCTTGACAAATATAGAAAAATCTTGCATGATAAAATGGTTGTTGATTATACCTTATATGGTGTAGGATTGAGTTTTCGTTTTATGTCAGGGCGAAGTGTTGCTAATGATTCCTTTACTCTGTTTTTGATTTCCAAAATAGATGGAAGTTGGTGAACAATTTTACCGCTTTTCCAATATAACTGCAATGAAATGTTTTTTTATTTATTCATTCATTTATACTGATATATATTTTAATTCAGATGCATACCTTGTGCAACGATTCTACTTTTGATGGAATCACATAAGCTCTTTTTGCCTCTTCGAAAGGATGCCTACACAAAATCTTTTGCCCTACTTCTGGAGCATTTTCTTCAAATCTTTGGATCAAGTCAATTAATGCATGTCCGTCAGCTCCATACAATCGATAGGCAGCCTTTTTATCGGGAATTGTAACTTTTTCTACTTCCTGACTTAATTTTATTCTTGGTTGATTATTAATTTCAACCAATTTGTATACACAACCTAACGCTGGCTGCTTCTGACATGTTACTAAATGCGTCCCGATACCAAAACAGTCTATCCTATGATTCTGTGAGTAAGAATAATGTTATTTATAACTTTTAATTATAAGTTTCTTATAAAGTTATGCGCACCTGTTCATTCAGACTGACAATAGTTTCTTCATTGATGTCATTAGAAGCAACAATTGTCAGCTTTGCAAACCATGGTAGGTCAAATTTTTTAGCAACTTTAGAGAATATTTCTCTAGCAGCCTGACTTAAATAAGCCAAATCTCCACTATCTATTCTTATTCCAATAGCTCTATAACCAATATCGTGCAAAGCTAGAGCTACTGCACAAAAGTTTAACAAACCACTCCTGTAAAATGAAAATCAAGTAAAATTTTAAAATTATAAAATATATTGTTTTATTGTAAGTAATGATAAAAATCGGTATCAAATTTAAGAGAATCACATTATATTTAAATAAGAATAACCATTGTTCATGAGATTTTAACTTCAAATTAAATAAACTACTTTAAAAAAAAACATTTCAAGTAACAAATCCATGATTTTAGGCAGTTCGATGAATGGATGAATCATAGTGATTTTCTTGTTATACATACAAGCATTCAGAAAAGTTGTGCTTTTAATGCATTCAGTTTGGACTAAAGTAGACACTTCATAAAATAACGAAGTCAACACGGTAAATAAATTAGAAAGATTGATATAAAATGTAATAATATGTTACCTTTTTACATCATAAGTGTCTACTAAAGCCATAAATCCATCTGGAAATGCTATGGCATAGCTAATAAGAGCCGCAAGCTCTCCTTCAGAAGCTTCAGACGCTATAGCACCAACATCTGTAGCAATTTGATCCCGATATTCACAAGCTAGTTCCAATATATCTATTTCCTCTCCAGTATCTTTATGTGCCAATGTCTAAGAATCATAATTATCAATTAGAAGTTGTAAGAATAATTTAAGTTGTTAATAATTACTCAGTATTAAAAAATGAAGTATAGAAAAAAATGTGTGGTTACCAACCTTAGTGTGTAAATCATCAAAACTGTCATACGATATAATATACGAATGCGCATGTGTTCCTTTAACCGGTATGCCATACAATTTTCCGGCAAGAACATTACTGGTTCCGTCAAATCCACCTTGGGGATAAATTAATAATGAGTTAATAAATATGAATAAGCTCATGGCAAAATAAAATATAATTGAAAGTATCATTTTTCCTACCAATGTAACTGTACTTTGAAGCACTCAAACCCCCATCAGGCCCTTGAGCTCTGCGTAAACCAAATTCCAAGAGAGATACAGATTTTCCAGCTACCATTCGGTATCTAGCTGCATTTGTAGCCATTAAGCTTGCAAAGTTGACCAAGTTTAACAAAGTCGTTTCCAAAAGCTGCACCATGATTAGTGGTCCTTCGACTCTCAAAAGTGGTACTCTGAAAATAAGAAAAGAAATGTGAATAATGACAGAAAAAAAGTAAAAGCAAAAAAGTAAAATACAATTACCTTGGAAACACTACCGATCCCTCTTCGACAGCATACAACAAAATATCATTAGCAGTGAGACTTTTCAAAAAGTCAAAAAATTCCGGTTCAACCGAAGTCGGCATGGTCGATCTAAGATATTCGATGTCTAAAATTATAACAAGGTATTTTAATGGACAAGTCAACAAAACGTTACATGGGAAAACCAAAAAAAGTATTACTCACCGCTGTCGGTATAACGAAACTTGTCGAGAAATTTGAGGCACTCTTCAAGCCCGGCGAAAATGGTGAATTCGCCATGGAAAGGATTCCGACGGAAAAACAAATCAAAGACGGCGTGATCCTTCATCTTGCCGTTCTTCCAGTAGGCGTAGGCCATCGTTATTTGGTACAGATCTGCGTGGGACGAGAAACAAAAACAAATTTAAAATTGGTGGCAAAAATTTGAGAGCAAGAGAAAGAAAGAGAGGTAGAGAAATAAGCCCAAACTTCGATTGTTACAAGTGTATCGAAATAAGTAAAAAATTAATTTTGAAAATTAACGGGAAGATCAATAAAATTACAAGCAGATAGCAAATAATTACCAGTGAGAAGAGGCTGTACGACTCCATTCTTCAGCGACAGACAGCAGGAGTCGGGTCCTGTCTGGCTGTCACACGTTCTTATTTCCTCAGAGCCGTTGCACACGCCACTTTTTTTCGTTGTTGCCGGACTATCCATTTTGTGTCTTTCGTTGTGGGTATTCTTTAATACACGTGTAGAACACTGCTGATGCTGATGAACAATTTTTTTTTGTCTGAAAACATATATTAGAATTCGTAACTTCAAACAATTTTGCGAACTAAATGTTCGTGTGGCCTTAGAAATGTTTCTAGCCTTTCCTCGTGTTTCGTTCATTGAGAGGACGTAGCACGAGAGGTCGGCTGAGACCGGCAACTAGCGAGTGATGTGAAAAAAGGGACTGGAGGAACGCTTTCGGCCGAGCAAAACGGTTTCCCGTTTATTGTCTGGCCAGCAGCGAAGACATTAGGAGTTTGTAAATTTCTATGTATTGCTGGCATATTTTTGTAGATGTGGACAGACAAGTAGAGGAAAAGAGTTAATTGTACATGTTTAATAGTTGTTGCTTACATCTACACCGAGAGAACTGCACTAACTCTTAGAGAGCACTAATTTTAAAATGTACTGCAGTGGTGAGCTGCTGGACGAACAGGCTGAGAAATATGTGCCTCGAGGAGACTCCAGTGCACTCGGCTTTCGGCGGCTCAAGTTTTATTGCTTTTTGAGAGCTGTAATTGGTTCAGTTTTCTATTAGCGGTAAAATTCTAAATTTTCTGTCTCTTTATCTTTCTCTCTATCTATATACTTAGCTGTCCGCAATCGCATTGGCTGTTTGTTGAAATCTAGTTGTTCATTAATTTATTGTTCATCGGACGGAAGGCGATTGGAGATAAGGAATGATAGTTTTAAGATCGTTCCATCTAAATTTTATAATTTGCTTGCCGAGTTGGGCGTAAGGCATACTTATTGCAAATATTTCTACACGTGTTCTTAGTAATTTCTTGTACGTTCGAAAATTTAGATCGTTCGATGAAAATTTTCGGAAGTTAAGAAGTAACCGTCGATTTTTTATGGTGGTAGTAAAAAATGGTATTAGATTTCACCAGCTACGTTCCAAGTCATTCAAGAAGCCCGCTCAGAGGTAAGGCTGTGACGGCTTGACGACGATTGTGTCTGGCTGTGCGTGTAGTGGGTTGCCTGTTCGTAGGCGCTTTGGAAGGTTTTGAAGTTTTGAAATTTGAAGAAAAATGGCCAAAAATATCATTTTAACGAATTATTTAATGCACAAATGATAGTCAACCTTTTTGGCTTCTCAAGTTTTTCAATATGAGCCCCACTCGAAATTTTTTCATTTTTTCTTTAGATAAATGCTAAAAACGTTGATATATAAGTTTTTCAGCTTTAATGAGTACCTTTATAAAAAATAAAAGAAAAATCCGAAAAAAGTAAGTTTTTGTGCCAAGCGACGTAAGTGACCAAATCAGCCCCAATAAATTCGTTTCGGAATGGAAGGAAGAGAATAATAGAATCAAATGATTTTTGTTTCAATTTTAGGCCTCTTTGAGCACTTGTATATAGAGCAAAATATCTATCCGTATGAGTTTCAAAAAGCTTTCTATCGCGAAATGGAAAAACATTTGTACGTGAATCATACACTATTTTTTCTGAGACGTGCTTTACTCTCTTCTCGCGCAGTACTTGTATATAATGACACTTATTTTACGGTGACTAATTTTTTTCTTTCCGTGCTCTCGACTCACGCACTTTTAATGCATTTTGTAGTACACTGTCAATTCCATTCATGATATAAGTGTTTACTTTTCCAGGTATCACTTTTTTAATTCATTTTTTGTTTTAATAATTCAACGCCGCTATAAACCGCATCGAATTGGCGAATCTATTTTTGGATCCGCACAATGAGATCTGGATCCGCTGCACTACCTATATGGTGCGTAACCTTCAACCTAACGGATTTTCTTCGACTCGCGAACAATGGCTCGCGTCGCGGCCATGCGTTTATCCATTTTCGGCAGATCCGCGTGTGATGGATAAAAAAAATCCTTCGAATCGAAACGTCATCGGCTCGATAGTGGCTGCACTCGATCACTGCCATTGTTCATCTTTTTTACACAATTATGCGCACCAATTTTATTCAGATTCTTTGTCTTCCTCAATGATTGGATGTGCTAAAATTGCTGGGATTAAAATATTTTTTGAAATGCATTATAATCATATATGAGTGGTCGATAAAGTTTCCTTGGTGAGATGGAAAACCAAATTACCACCTCAATTATAATGGCGTGACGGTTCAGTCCTCAATAGTAATGGGACTAGCAGCTGTTTATAACATATGCATCAATTGAATATAACAATGACACACAAGTATGCATATGAATCGTCTTAACTTTGCCGGATTTAAACTTTCTAATCATTATCAAATTGGGCGACTCCGACTGCATATAAGTACAGTAGTTTGACATAAGATCTAAAACGCGAGAAAAACGTGAACATAGCTAGCTAAGTATAGAGACTATTCTAGCTCGTTTGCTATTGTTATTATATTTTGGCATATTTTATGCACAGTGCGGTAGGCTGTGGAATACGCTAATCGCAGTATAGCGTGGGAACGGCCCAGTTTTAAATGGGTGGTAAAATTTTTTATTATGCATGTGTATAAGGATCTATTGATTCGAAGTTTTTTGATTTTTTGTACGAATTCAATGTTGTCTGTCGGGAGTTTTGTTTAAGTACCTAGTTTCAAAAATTTTAAAAATTCGGGAGAAGAAATCGTCACCAAGTTAGAATTTAAAATTGAGTCAAGTGCTGTAAGAACAATATATAAACAGATAAATCAACAACTTAGTTATTTATTTACTATTGTTAATTAAAATTCATTCATCATTAACTTTTAAGTGAGTCTTTTTCATTTCGCCACCTGACACCTGCCATTTTGGTTGAACCATAATAATGATTATATGTTTATTATTATTACATATTAATGATTTTGACATATTTTCTCGACCTATAGGTCATGTTTACAGTGAAATCAAATTAGTTTGAATATTGACTCTCCCGATGAAACAAGCACTATACTTAACAGATAAATTTTACTCAGTCAATTTCCGTGATATTAAATAGAAGGATCCATCGTTTATTATAGGCATCAAAATGAATAAAAGTGAGGAGAAAATCGAAAAAATTGTCTTAAAAGATAATTTATGTGAAGCGGATATTGTTGTTTCAGACGACAAAAAATATATTTGTGATATTTGTCAGGAGGCATTTACACTGGAATCAAGTTTGATAACACACCGACACACAATTCACAATGAGCAAAAAAATTACTCATGTGACAAATGTGAAGAGAAATTTGAGTTTCGAAGTCATTTGAGTAGACATCAAATAGCACAACACAAGGGCAGCAAAGATTTTGCATGCGACCAGTGCGAAAAGAAATTTGTGAAAAAATCGAATTTGTTTACGCACCAAAAATTAGTACATAAGAATCGCAAGGATTTCACCTGCAACAAGTGCGAGAAGAAATTTGAAAATGAATCAAATTTAATAAATCACAATAAAATATTCCACGAAGTTTTCAAAGATTATTTATGTGAAATGTGCGCGAAAAAATTTGGAAATAAACGAAATTTGCTCATACATATAAAGAGAGCCCACGAAGGTCCCAAAGATTATCTATGTGACAAGTGCAGGGAAAAATTTAGAACAAAATCGCATTTGCTCTTCCACCTGAAGATAGTACACAATGACTTCAAAGATTACTTATGTGACAATTGTGGGAAGAAATTTGTACATAAATGGTATTTACGCTTGCACAAAAGAACAGTCCACGAGGGTCGAAAAGATTACGCATGCGACAAATGCCAAAAGAAGTTTAAGCATAAACAGTTTTTGCTTATTCACCAAAGAACAGTCCACGAAGGTCATAAAGATTATGCATGCGACAAATGTGAAAAAAAATTTGGACAAAAACCGAATTTTCTTGTTCATAAAAGAACAGTACACGAGGGTCGAAAGGATTATGGATGTGACTATTGCGAAAAGAAGTTTGGACAACAATCTTCTTTGATCAGACACCAAAAGTCAGTACATGAAAGTCGAAAAAATTATGCATGCGGCAAATGCGAGATGAAATTTGGACTTGAACAACGTTTGCTTTTGCACCAAAAAATATTCCACGAAGGTCGCAAAGATTTCGCATGTAACATTTGCGAGAAGAAATTCTCACAAAAGGTGAATTTGCTCTCCCATCAAAAGACAGTACACGAAGGTCGTAGAGAATTTACATGTAACATTTGCGAGAAGAAATTTGGACAAAAACAGCATTTGCTTACCCACCAAAAGACAGTACACGAAGGTCGTAGAGATTTTAAATGTAACATTTGCGAGAAGAAATTCTCACAAAAGGTGAATTTGCTCTCCCACCATACAACAGTCCACGAGGGTCGTAAAGATTTTGCGTGCGATAAGTGTGAAAAGAAATTTGGGTATCAAAGCTATTTGATAAAACACAAAAAAATAGTCCATGAGGGTCGTCGCAAATATTTCGCATGCGATAATTGTGAGAAGAAATTTGGGTCACAAAGCATTTTGAAAATACATCGGAATACAGTACACGAAGGCCGGAAAGATTACGCATGTGACAAATGCGAGAAAAAATTTGGGGAACGAGGCACTTTAATCAAACATCAAAAAGGAGTCCACGAAGGTCGCAAAGATTTTGCATGCAACAAGTGCGAAAAAAAATTTGTACGAAAATTCGATTTGCTTCTCCACCAAAAGATAATACATGAAGGTCAAAAAAATTACGAATGTGATAAGTGCCAAAAAAAATTTGGACGAAAATTCAGTTTGCTTCTGCACCAAAAGACAGCACACAAAGGTCAGTAAGATTACGTGTGTAATAAGGGGGAGAAAAAATGATGATTGACAAATGTAAATATGCATAGATACTTATGAAAATATTTTCCTAAAATTTCAATAAAAATTTTTTTTCCTAAATGATTGTGTGTTACCTGAACCTCGAGCGTTTAACTAGAACTAAACCTGTGATCTCTGTCGTGGTGATGTTTTATTTTTGAACTAGATTTCGGGTACTACTAATTACTACTCTTTGTTTATTTTTTTGGCTACTTGGTTCCTGCAGAACTTTTTGCAACGATCAGCTGAGAGTTTATTGAATGGATCAGGCGTTCAGTTAACTACTGAATTTTTGATTAAAATCACGAAATGACACGCTACCCCTAATTGATGAAACACACGTTAATGAAACATTGTTATAAATTTCCTGACCTACTAATCATTTTGTCCTACAAAAGACGTGATCGGTAATAAAAGTATATTCTATCCAAAAAAAACCAACGTGAAAACTGTTCAATCATTCAATTTAAACCAAAAAAGGTTTCCTAAATTGTTTCTAAATTCTAATTGTTTTCAAATGAAGTGAGTGGCGAGTAAAAGTTTGTGTGGGGTGACACTTTTTCTAATTCGTCCCTACTTATGCATACGACTGACCCATACTTTGCCTATTTGTTATTTTACATTTGCCTGCGCTTCGAATTTAATGACGCTCAATGATTTATACAAAAGTATATGGCACATCATATGGCTATCCTCTTCATTTCCTTACATCGTGCTTTGTCGGACAAAAAGCTTTGAATCTAACACATGTCCCTCTACAATGGACTGCAAGTCCGGTAAAAGTGAGGGCTTAAGAGCAAGTGTGTAAAAACTGCCGACCTCATAGTTTGTCCTTCTAAATAAAGTCTTTTCTAAATTATTTCTGGGTAATCGTTCTTTTCCACCGAATAAGTTTAATCATTTCGTTCATACTTGTAATACGAATTAAATTTGTAAAAAAAGAACTGTAAAATTATTTGAAGGCTTATTTCATTTTTCCTCCTTAAATTCATAAAACAAAAAAAACTTGGTGCGTAAGCCTGTACTTGAACTTTTTAAAATTATTAAAAGAAGTTTACGATTCACGCCGATACCTTACTATTCATTGGTAAAATAGGAAAAACAAGCAGTCGATAAATGGCAAGAGTAATGTGGGTTTTTTCATACGTTACGTAGAAGGGATTTTTACGCGCTCGATGACACAGTGGGGAAAAAACACGCCGGTACAAGTCCCATCTTCTACAAAGGCCTGTAGAGGCTTGGAATGTCAGTCGTTTTGAATCGTTGCTATAGAGTGGGTGTATTGTAGAAAATGTGAACGGGTTTGTGTTTTGCACACGTGTTGTCGTTAAGTATAAACGAAACTTCTATAAAATTAACTCGGCTATAATATATACTGTTTGAAATCGATACAACTAATCGTATGATTAGTCAGCAGTGAAAAGTTTAAATTGTTGTTTTACAATGAGTGATGCCAAAAAACGCAAAATGCTCGAAATTGAAGAAAGTAGAGAGCAAAAGCAAAGTCGGTTTATCGAAATGTTCATGGAGGAAGAAGATTGGTCGGACGAAGATTTAGTGGCATTTATAGTGGATGAATTTGACGGGAATGTCGAGGATATCAACTGGATTTTAAAAACAGCTTTAACAGAAGACGAACCCAGTTTAGCCTCTGGTCAGATAGTCGAGGTACTCGTGGAAAACAATATCGAATTGCAAGTGCTCAATGACTTGGGTCAAACGGCAATTCACATTGCGGCAAACAATGAAGATTTAACGACGATGGAATTGTTATTCAAATGTGCCGGGAACGAAAATCTTAGCGATAAGGAAGGATTCACGTATTTACACGCGGCCTGTATGTCTGGTTGCAGCGAGATAGTGCAAAAATTCATTGATCATGGCGCGGATGTCAATCTTACGTTTGAAAAAAATGGTCGTCTTGAATCTCCTCTGGGGCTGTGCATCAAATACGGGTCGAATAAAGTATTGAAATTATTATTGAACAACGGCGCTGATCTTAAACTATTACATGACTGGAGCGAGGATGCTTTAAAGGGTCTTAAAAGTATTAGACCTTTACGCTATTACTACGGTCGTTCATGTCCGTGGACAATTATTGCCAATCATCATTTAAATGAACTGTTAAAGCATAAAAAAAATTCGGAAACAATCGAAAATCGCGGCGATAGTGAAGGATTTACATATCTTCACGGAGCTTGCATGGCTGGCAACATCGAGATGGTACAGAAATTCATAGATCAAAAAGTCGATCTCGATCTTATTTGGCGATTACCTAATGGTAAAAACAAATCCCCGTTGACTCTAGCTATGGAGTTTAATCAAATGAAAATATTAGAAATGCTGTTAAAGAATGGCGCCAATCCTCACATGAAACTTATGGGAAAAAATCTTTTGCATATTTATTTCAATGAATTTTACTATGATTTCGAACTTCTTGAACTTCTCATTAGTTACAACTGCGATTTGAATGCAAAAGACGACGATGGCCGTAGTCCTTTGTTTCTTTGCTACAAGAATTGCAACGAAGAATGCATTAGTGAGAGACCTCAGATGTGGGCAAACAATATATTAAGCAAATTAGGCGAAGATCACAAACATCTAGAAATTCTGCTAAAAAATAAGGCTGATGTCAACGAAGTATTCGATAACGGCCAATCGATACTTCACCTGTTTATTCGATCGAACATCTGTACATCGACTACAATAAATGAATTGTGGAAAACCCATCCAAACGTAGTAGGTGTTGAACTAGTTAAAACACTTTTGCAATATGGGGCCGATCCAAACGCCAAAGACGATAACGGTGATTCGCCGCTTCAATTGGCTGTTTCAAGCAACAACTCTGACGTGGTTGAGGTACTTTTGGAGCATGGGGCTGATGTACAAAGTGTTGATATTTCGAAGCTTCATTGGGACTTTCATTGGTCCGTCGGATGGTTGAACAGCCTAATAAAATTTTTCATGATCCTAAACTTTTTGATTGATAAGGGATTTAAATTGAATGAATCGATTGGTTTGACTGTGTTGAAATTGTTGGACAATGCAGCTGGCTTTGGCAACAAGATTTCTTTACACAACAAGTTATACAACACATTACTGTTTGGTAAGAATTGATTGAATCTAATTGTAAAATATGTATTCCACTAATGGAGTTTATATTTTTTCAGGTTCTTTGACGCAGACTCGTTCATTATTGAATGATGTTAAAAGTGGAAGTGATGATCAATTTGAGGACGATGACAAGAAAACGTTAGCTAAACTACTCTATGTACAGATTAAAGCAGCTGAAAAAGGAAATATGTTCATGACAGCGGAGATGAAGGATTATGTGCAACAATTTCAAAATTTTTTCATTACCTCACAGATATATATTGATCTTGATGACTCCAAGATTCAGCTAGAAATTGAGTATTTAAAAAAACTGACGATTAAAGACGGGGTTTCTCTTCTTGATGTTTGCACATATAGCCCTGAAAAAGCATATAGCTTGATAAAAGAATTCAATTTCCGGACAATTATTAATTCAGATGATTTCGATTATAAGTGCAAAGAATTATCTGATACCATTAAGGGATACATCGTGAAATGCTTCATCAGCAAAATTTTCGTGGATATTGGATTGAAATATTAATGTTACTGATGAATACAGAATAAAATTTAATGATATGACATTTAATTGCATTTTTGAAAAGCGCACGTGATCAATAACTCAGACTTATGTTAATTTCGAAGTTACACGTAAATAAATATATGCAATCAAACAAAACAATATTTGATAGTACTGCCCAACATAAATGTACAGCTTGGCACGCTTTTTAGCGCTATATGTTGCAATTTAACAACGTATCCTGCGACGTGTCAATCGCATTCGTTGCGCTCGTGTACTGTCTTGACTTTACGGCACCAAGTGGTGCGATTTATGTCTTCGAAAGGCAGACATCAACGCTAATTTTGGCCGAGAAAATATGAAATAAGCTATGACAAAGTTGTAAAAGTCGTCGCTTTGCTCAGACATTAAAATGCTACTAATGATCCTTGTCTCGTACAATAACTTCGACGTATAGTACAAATTTAGAATCAAACTATTTCTCGATTATGATGAAAGCAACATTTTTATTCTTGAAATATTTGCCTGTTTCTATTTTTTATTTTTGTTTTGATAAAATTCTTACATATGTTATTAAAAAAACAATGCAAAATTCATTTTTGTTACGTGAACTCTTCAAATAAAAAAGAAAACTATTTATGTAAACCTATACCTAAGATTTTTATAATATTAAAAAATTTAATGATACATGTCGGTATCTGACTATGCATCGGTAAAATAGGAAAAACGAGCAGTCGATAAGATGACAAGAGTAATGTGGGTTTTTTGACCTTATTTCAAAATAATTTTTACGTACTTGATGACTCAGAGGGAAAACATTGCACGCCGGTATTAGTATTTCAGGGGCTATTCTAGTTTATCGGCCAAAAAAAGGTATTTTTCGCGAATTTTTTTTCCAGCAAACTATGACAGACATCGTTCTAAATCTTTTAGGGCTTAATAAAGGCACTATTGAAGCTTGCAAAAAAAATATTGCATTTACTGGACATATATGGGAGAATATCACTAACCTTTAACCTCTAAGTTGTGGCACTTTGATGAATTATTATAAAATACCTATTCGGTGAATGATAATTTAAAAAGTGTCATGACATTCATTATAAGATTCCTGATATTCATGATACAAGACATAAGATTCACCACGTTTACGCTCGAAAAATGGAAAATTTCATTTTTTATGGACGAAGTTTTTGATGATTTATTAACTGATAAATTATATTTATAAAGAGTACCTTATTTTAAATGAGGATATATTAAATAAATAACCGAATTACTTGTTATCTTTTCAAAAACTGACCCGATTGAGCTTCCGTATCAATAGTATGAGCTTTCATACTTTGTTATGGATTTTCGATGTCGCGTCTGCAACTCGACATAATTTAAAAAAAAATAATGATCAAATCTAATTTAGGTATGGTTGGCACCCAAATATTAAGAAAATTTATCATTTTCCCGATATTATAAGCCCATAGTATGTTGAATGAATTGTATTTTCAATTCATTTAATCGTAGGTAAAAACTCACAAATTTAACCGAACAAAATACATGTCGGTGACAAAAATCGTCAATTATATCTCAGAAAAAGTGCTGAACGTGGACTTCAGCATTTTACTACAAAATAATGTACGATGAACGTTGCAATGAGCGGATATATTAAAAAGCTATTTTTGTTTTTGTTGCCATGAATACTGAAGTGTTTCTATGACTCTTGCATTGTACAACTAACTTTTTACTGTAATATATCGATGGTGTCTACGAAGAAAATCCCCTTTTTAAAACAGTAGCATTTTAATTTTTTAATATAAGAATCACCCCGCTATTTTAGATCAAGTGATTATATGTTTTTGGAAAAGTTTGAATTACAAATTGAATGAGTGGTTTTTTTCGCCGCATTTCGAAAAAAAGAGAATTTCTTCGCTACAAGAATTTGTCTGCATTTAAAAAAGACTTAGATACGAGTCTCTCGAGTCTGACTTGTGCAACGGTCAGTCGCAATTCGCAGTCAGGGCGATTCTACATAAGATTTTCATCTGAGTTTCGGGCTACGTTCGGACTCCGTTCGGACGCATCGGACGGATCTTAGTGTCAACTTCGAATAATAAATATTCCTTCTATTGTATTGTAACTTCACAATAGAATAAAATACAATAGAAGGAATATTTATTATTCGAAGTTGGCACTATCCGTCCGATGCGTCCGAACGGAGTCCGAACGTAGCCCGAAACTCAGATGAAAATCTTATGTAGAATCGCCTTCAAGAGATTGGCGTCAGTGCGTACTGTGTATATGTACAACGTAGGTTATATCTCCCGTCTAATATTTTGTGCAAAAAAAGTTTTGAATGACTTAAGTGATAATTGACTCTTTACAAGGTTTATTCCAGAGTGCAACATGTCAGTAATATTCGGCATTATTCGATTTAATGAAGAAAACAACCATACGTGGATGTTATCCCCTTATTCAATAAATACATTTGGAAAAGCAATGATCATATCGCCCGAATTTAGAAATGATGAAAAATCATTTCAATTGAAATTCGTAGGACGGTATAACCCTAATGGGGTCTCAATTGGTTGGGACTTGGCGCTATGTCACTTGAACCCAAACTCATCATTACCATGCAAATATATCATAAAAGTACTAAAAGATGGACAAACTTTAATCCAAAAATCAGGTGATTGTACGTTTTCTGCGAATAATAATGAAATAACTATTTGCGACATGGGTGCAATGTCAAACATTAATTATGATATTTCCTGTCGATTAGAATTTTTTTCGGAAAAAACTAAGTTTGTTAAAAAATTGGGATTAAAATTTAATTTTGAGTGGATATTTCTCGACAAAAACTTCAGTGATGTTGTGCTACGAACTGCAAATGGAAAAGAAATCCCAGGGCATAAACTTGTACTTGCTACTGCCAGTCCAGTGTTTAAAGCTATGTTTAACCATGATATGTTGGAGAATAAAAGCCAATCAGTTGATATGATCGATATTAGTTATGATGCTGCAGTGGAGATGCTACGATACATCTACACCGGTAGTGTTGAGACTAAAGAATATTCTTTGGCTGCTGAAGTTTTGGCGGCTGCTGAAAAATACCAACTTGAAAAATTAAAAAATGAGTGCGAACAGATATTAATTTCCCAATTATCCACTGAAAATGTTATTGAAGCTCTTCAAGTGGCTGATACATACAACGCGAAACATTTGGAAAAAAAAGCTGTTGATTTCGTCAAACGCAAAATGAACGAAACATTGCCTTTGAGCAAAGTAAAGGATATGCTCCTTAGTAAAGCGCGGTTAGTTTCGAAATAATGTAAAAATTGGCAGAAATAAACTCTTTCGTGTCTTCATCATACTTTTTTGTTAATCATTTGAACTTAAAAAATTTCTACTGTTTTTGTACTTTGATCAAAATAAAAATTTCAATCAATATCATCGAAAAAATTTTTTAACCCACCGATCATGCTTGAGCCATATAGAATCATTGTTGTACACGAACGAGTAAAATGTGCGACTTCCACGTAATGTCAAACCACAGTTGCGAGCTCATAAAATTTAACTGCGAATTGAACGAAAAAATACTAATTGTGGCAAGTAACGTAATCGTTATCTCTTTTGTATACAATTAAAAAATAAACTCGAAATTCTATGGTAAATAAAAATAATAATTCAATGTACGATCCTAAAAAAAATGTTTATTGAGAAAATAACTAAAAAGCATCAATTCATTGATTAACAGTCAATATGTTTACGGTGATTACAGAAGAAATGATTTTGAAGGATAATCTCAATCTGTAAGTATTGAGGATTTTAATAAATATCTTTCAGTGGCTTGGTACCGGTGTAATGCGCTCCAGATTACGGCTAAGGTTGTTCGATATCAACGGTGCCTATAAAACAACATCAACATTATAGTGGTAAACAATCGCATCTACTCTTTAGCGGAGAAAATTAATTGTTAAATTATTTAGTGTCTTTTTCGCAAATTCAACCATCAAAAAAGTTTGTTATTTTTTTCAAATAAAATCAAAAAATGAATGATTCCTTTCAATCGACTATAAAGTCCCCCAGTTTCGTTCTGCTCTTTGGAAGCCACTCGAGATTCGCAAGCCACTATCGTAATGCGTTTGAAACATAAGATCTATTTTATCAGTTTCAGAACGCATAATGTGTAACGATACAAGTCTCGACTTGAGAATCTGTCAATACGACTCGGCAATTGTCGCGTCCGCGTGTGCCTATAAGCAACAGTTTGCGCGAGTGTGATAAAAGTCCCAGACGACTCGAGTGGTAGTTGAATAGGGCTTTTTCATAGTCGTCAGTGACGGTCACAAATCGACCAGCTGATTTGCCTGGAGGCAAAACAAAGCGACCGCCCATATACTTTACAATTTAAAGTTGGTTGGTAAAAGTACTTGTTATTAGTTTACCATGCAGTAAAAAAATAAACAAAAAATATCTGGAGAAAGCGGAAATCCTTGTGTATCGAAATATCGAAGCGGTTTTTAGTTTTTAAATAAAAAAATATTGATATTTCGGCTTTTTTGTATGTGATATTGTCAATAAACTCTAATAAAAAGTGGTTTTTTTAGGTTGCAATAAAATTTTATTCTTTGAAGTTACCGACGAAAAACTAAAAAACAATCGTAATTAAGAATATTATCTTTCCACGAACAGCAGACTTGGGTTAGAAGCCGATGGCGAGATCATTTTCATAATTTTAGAAAATAACGATTGTTTCTTAGGTTTTCGTTGGTAATTTGAAAGAATAAAAATTTCTTGAACTAAAATTTTTTGTACCTTGAAAACAGCCTTCTATATGAAAATTATTAAAATTGAAAATAATTTTGTATCTGATCAAGCGGTTCGAAATCAAAAAAGATTTTGTTAATAATGAAACCACAATGAACATCAAGAACCAGGTCTTTGCAATATTACATTTTAATTTGACGTATACGGGAGCGTGTTTACTTTTTAACTCTATATATTTTATTAATAATCTTCCGAAACATTTCATACTGCTCTGTCAAAAACAGAAAATTTCCATTTTAAAAAGTAAGCTTTAAAATGATAAATTTTCTAGGCTTATGCCAGGTGTATGACTGATGAGAAAACGTTTAACCAGCAATATTTACATTTCAAAGGCTCTTGTTTTCATTTATAAAATGTACTTTGATGTACTTTGATGCGAGTTAATTGTCGAAATCGAGAATACAATATATGAGATGAGAGATTAAAAACAATAATCCGCGAATTGATCTTAAATTTTGCATTAGTTGTTAGATACGTCAATCATCAACTATTATAGCTACTTTTAGAGCCCAAATATTCGAATGGTAAGTATTTTCAACTACAGGAATCTTTTTTTTTCCAGTCAAATAAGTAGCTTGTAGACTCCTTTTTTATATTTGAGCACATGCTTAACACGTTTGTCGCCCATACGTCGCACTTGTCACAGACTTTCATTTGAATAATTTAATTTAACTTAACAATTAAAATCATTTGAAAAGAGCTACACAAAAATTTTTAATGCAAGTGTTAAACCTGCATTTCGGCAAAGGTTTGTGACAATGGATATGGGTTTTTTATAAAGTTTATATTTTGTCTACACCTTAGTTGGATCAATATTAGGCGCTAACAACTGCAAAAATGTAAAACTTTCATGAGTTAGCACATATACAAATCGAAAAAGTAGGGTATGAGATTAGTAAAATTTTGATATAAATATCACTCAAAATAGTTTTTTCATCATAAAATTTCTCTAAACATTTATAACTTGGGAACTTATTCACATGAGATATAGCTGTTTTCGTAAATTTTTTTTGTCAATTTTATGTGTAAAATATTTTCTGTTTCGAATTGTTTGGCGTTTCATATTTTTTAAACAGGTCGTATTATTTGAAACCGTCTCGTATACTTGAGCTTTTTTTCATCATTTTACGTTACGTTTACTATTAATATTGTCTGATGAATTTCATATTACTCTTTTTACGTTATATGCTTATACAAGAAGTGTATACCAGTATTATAATAATTACAACAGTCGTGACACTTATTTATTAAGGCATTTGAGAACTGACAGTGCGCAAGAAAAACTTATTTAGAAGACTATTAGAGTAAACTTTATCATGAGCGACGCCAATCAAAATATTTCCAAGTAAGCTTGGCATCAATACTAAAAATTTCTCAAACTTTTCCTAAATTTCAAATTATAACATTTTCTTACTATAGGGTAGATGAGCATCCTGATGAGATGTGTATGCGTTTTATGAAATATTGGTTCGAGCGATTTCCTCGGGTTCAAATAATATTAAGCATCACTAGTTTAATACCTTTCCAAGGTAAATGTCAGATATTTGGAAGTCTTTGCCGCTATTTTTCGTTGTATCTTTCATTAATAAGCACGGTAAGTATTCATCGGACATATTTAACTGTTTTTACAATAATAGAAAGTAAAAATTAAGGTTTTGTGGATCGTAAAAGAGAAGAAAGAAACACATATTTTAAGCAACTCTACGATTGAATCTGTATTTCAACTAGTATTTATTGTGGCTATGGCATTCACTTACACGTACTTTAGAGCATCTAAAATAATGGTAGTTTTTCAAAGTAATAAAATTATTAGTTAGTATACTATTAATGTTAAATGTATTAAAAAAAGATATCAAAATATTTTAGATCTATAGAGTAATGTCTCGAATGTGGTACAGTTACAACGAAGATATTCAAAATATTATTTTAAAGATTGCTTCAAATGGGTACTATATAGCCACTATTCAAGGAGGTTGACAATAGTTCAATATTTCAAATTGACGAATGCGCATAGATAAAACATGACTTATCTTTTTTTTCACAGTATTGGTTTGTGTCACTTGTGCTCTGTATGCCTCATCTCCATTGATTTTACCTTTGTTTTTTTCTTTAACAAGTTCAGGCAATAAGACATTTGAAATAACTTTACCCCTTCATGAAGAATTCTTGGTTGACCAAGATAAATATTTATATATAATACTTGCTTTCCAGATAATTGGTTTAGTAGATTTCGGTCTTCTAACATCCGCTTTGAATTTTTTATTTTGTTCATTTTTAGTAGGAATTATTGGAGGAATTTTTGGTTTAAAGTGTGTACTTTATAATAGAAGAAATAGTACGATTTGTTAAATGAACGCAATAAATTTTCTTTCAGACATTCACTGAAAAAAATAGATGCTGAGTATGGTGAGAAAATTTTGATGAGTAACGAAAATGCAGATAAATGGATTTTTCTGCAGCTCAAAGATTTTATTCAATATCATCAAAGTCTCATAGAGTAAGTCTTTCTAACATTCGTTTTAATAATTTTCTTATTAGTCTAATTACTTTAGTTTCTATGAATATGGTCGCGAATTATTCAGCCCCATAATGTTCATTGTATTAATTGGAACTACTAGTGGCTTCATCTTAGCAACAACCTCAGTAAGCAATTCAACATTGATTGAACTCCAGACAATGAGTTTTAAAAGTTTTTTCATTACATGATAATGTTATATTTTTAAACTAGCTGGTCGTTTTGATGGATACAGATTCCGCTGGAGCAGCTCGGATGATAGCAGTACCTTTCATGACAATGATGGTCATTATCTTCGCTTGTGCTCCCAGCCAAATATTAAAGAATGCAAGCGAAGATTTTTTTTCCACTTGGTAAAATATTTGCACAATATTAATCATTTAATTCGTGGTTATTAAAATGAGTCTTTTATAATAGCTGTAAACTGAATTATCAAAATTATCCACCAAAAATAAGAATGATGTTTTTGTTGATAATAATGAGAGCTCAAACATGTTTTGCACTGACTGCTGGACCTCAAATTGAATTAAATTTTGAAACGTGCAGTACTGTAAGTATATTCGAAAATTAGAAAGTTCTGCAAAGCCAACGTTTTTAGAAAAATGCAATAACTCCCCAATTTTATTCTTTTAATTTTCAGATTATTAAATCCGCATTTTCTTACGCGGCAGCTTTTAGATCAGTCTACGCGTCCGAATAACTAAACTTTTACGGCTTAAATTTTCAATTACATTCAAGTTCACTTACAGCTTAATATTTACTCGAAAAATTTCTTGAACTAAAATTTTTCGTACCTTGAAAACAGCCTTCTATGAAAATTATTAAAATTGAAAATAATTTTGTATCTGATCAAGCGGTTCGAAATCAAAAAAGATTTTGTTAATAATGAAACCACAATGAACATCAAGAACCAGGTCATTGCATTATCACATTTTAATTTAACGTACACGGGAGCGTGTTTACTTTTTAACTCTATACATTTTATGAATAATCTTCCGAAATATTTCATACTGCTCTGTCAAATACAGAAAATTTTCATTTTAAAAATTAAGCTTTAAAATGATACACTGAAAAATACATGTTGGCACACAAATATATTTTCTAGGCTTATGCCAGGTGTATGACTGATGAGAAAACGTTTAACCAGCAATATTTACATTTCAAAGGCTCATCTTGTTTTCATTTATAAAATGTACTTTGATGCGAGTTAATTGTCGAAATCGAGAATACAATATATGAGAGATTAAAAACCAATCATTGACTATGATGAATTTGATATTTTTGATCATGCAATAAATTTAGACATACTTTATAGTTTTACACGTACTTTATAGTAATCCTTGTTTAGACGATTGGGCCGAAATAATACAAAAATTTATTTACGCGCACAGTTAAGAAAACTCTTTTGCCTTCCTCCTTTTCCTCAGACACACAAAATAGATTCCTTTCGGCATGAATCGACTGAATGATGTTTGTTGTAAGTAAAATTTTCGATCATATATCGCCACATGCACTCACAAACTAATTCATTCGATTTACTGCACAATTGATGGGACGTGAAAATGCGAAATACGTCGATTCAAAAAGACTTGACAGGTATCGTCGGCTTTGGTAGGGATGAAGTAAACGTGCGCGAGTAAGGCCAGTTGTCGGTCTGCTGCTATGCCCGTTTGGCGTGTAGTTGAGGCTACGGAGGTAAACAAGATGACTGCGCGCGCATGAATTGGCTTTCGGCAATAAGAGGTTAAAAAAAGCCCAAAACACTAAATCTGTCGTGAGAATAGACATAGCGCTTGAAGAAAACCGTGAAAATGTTTAAAAATACGTTCCAGAGTGGCTTCTTATCAATTCTGTATAGCATTGGTAGCAAACCATTACAGATATGGGATAAAAAAGTTAGAAATGGACACATTAAGAGAATCACAGACAATGACATCCAAAGCTTGGTTTTGGAAATTCTTGGTAGTAATGTCAGTACTACGTACATCACATGCCCAGCTGATCCTAGAAAAACATTGGGTATTAAATTACCATTTTTAGTCATGATAATTAAAAACTTGAAGAAGTATTTTACCTTTGAAGTACAAGTAAGTTTCTATCTCATATTTTGTTTATTTCTTTCTTATTCAATTTTCATCAATGTAATTCAATTTCATTGTTTTATAGATCATTGATGATAAAAATGTCAGACGTCGTTTTCGAGCAAGTAATTATCAATCTACAACAAGAGTCAAACCATTCATTTGCACCATGCCGATGAGACTGGATGATGGGTGGAATCAAATTCAATTCAACCTGGCAGACTTTACAAGACGAGCTTATGGTACAAACTACGTAGAAACTTTAAGAGTACAGATTCATGCTAATTGTCGAATACGAAGAGTGTATTTCTCAGACCGTTTATACTCGGAGGATGAATTACCAGCTGAATTCAAATTATTTTTACCGATACAAAACAAAGCTAAATGTTAACTATGACAAAGTTTACTCAAGGAATAGGAATCAAGTGCTTTTTAGATAGGTAAAATATTATAAAAATTGAAAATACTTTACCAATACAATTTATTAAGGAATATATTTAAATTTTTTAAATTTTTGTATGCAACATGATGATAATTTTTTATTGACACTTCTATAGGCAGTATTTAGTATTATTCAAGTACATAAGTGTAAAATTAACTTAATCATGTAAAATTACAGTGAATCATGTAAAATAGATTTATAATAATGGTATATGTGCACTGTCATTTGATTTTATACTATAAAATGATAAATCTTAGTTGAAAACAAAGCTTATTACACCAAAATGATACAACTAGGTCAAGTTGGATAATTTTTTAATAATTGAACAATTAATGAGCTATGAATGATGTTTGATTTTGCCAAGAATGCTGTATTGTTTCGAAAACTGTTGAAAAATGATAGAACAAGAATTAAATTCAATATGAATTGTATAAAAAAAGATGTGATCCCGCAATAACAGGTGTATTGATTTTTTTTTCGTGAAAAAATGTAATGTTGTGATGCACACCCCTCTTTGCTCGGGGTGGTAACGAAGGCCGCGGATAAGTATTTACCTTATTACAGGTACAATCTTAATGGTGTGTATCTGTGATTACTTTTATCATATAGTTCAACTTTGGGCATTTTATATATTAAAGTTACTTTTTTAAAATTCAAGGCGTATTATATAATTCCTATCTCACAATCAAAAACGACAGTGATAAAATGTAATAAAATCCGCATGTATTTATCAAATGTAGTGAATTTTTATATCAAATGAGGGGGCGAGCACCGGTAACTAGGCGGGCGAGCGCATGCGTGAATTTCGCGAGTCGAGTGCTTTCGCGGGAAACTTTTGAAAGCCTCGCAGTGCAATCGCGTTGACTTATATCAGAAATAATCGCTTCGACAAAACATACAATGGTAAATAAATAAAGTATTTCCCACGACGTCACTTTAATCAAAAAGAGTCGAAATCTTTCGATACCAAACTTGGATACGAAGAAAAGAGACAGCTATGACAACGCAGGTCGTTAAGTAACGGGGCGAATTAACGCGCCGGTGCGCGCGAAAGGGGAGGTAAAAATTCACGGAGAACCGCACGAGTCACCGGGCGAAAAAGCGCTTGATACGTGTAACATATTTATAAATGTAAGCGCGCCCAGAGAGGGTAGAGTGTATTTACAGCAGCTCTGCACGAGGTCGCTTGCGGGAGGGCGACACGACGCCGGGGGTGTGCAGCTGTGCAGAGAGAGAGAGAGAGCGAGGGAGTACATAATATACATACATTCGCGGGAGGGAGCTGCTCTGCCCGAAGGAAGAAACGGCGAGAAAGAAGCGGCGCGCGAGGGTTTATACCCTACTGCACGCGGGCTATATAACATCTATAAAATGGCGGATCAATTAACGGCGGGCGGCGGTGGTGGCACACCGTATATTTATATGTATGTATTTTATATCGAGGGGGGAGAGCTTTTAACTCTCCTCCCCGCTTGGCCCTGCTGCTGCTGCTGCTGCTGATGCTGAAGAGGGTCTGCGGCATCTCTCTTTCTCTCGTGGGTATGTGTGCGAGTATGTATGTGTGCGCAGAGGGTCGCGCGATTCCCGCGATGCTCCGCTGCGATGCTGCGGACAGAAGGGTCGCGAAGTTCGCGGCGGCATCGCGCGACTACGACGCGAGTTGCTGCGAGGGCATTGCAGAGGATACCGGGAAAAAAAAGGGTAAAAATAAGGAAAGAAAAAGAAGAAGCATAACGAAAAGGATGAAGTCGTGCCTGGTGAAACTGGTGCCTGGACGTCGTATAGATCTGGAGCCTAATCATCGTCATCGTCATCAATGATTACATCGAATTTCGGCAATTATTGTAATAAAAACTTGTCAATTGCTCGATCCAAATGCAGACGCATCGCCAGCGAGAGGAGTTGGATTCCGAGGAGATAAGAACAGCTTCCGACGACGAGGACAGCGACGAAGACAACGAAGACGAAGAAGAGAACGAGCCAATCGTCATTCGCTGCAGAATCTGCGCCCAAGTCCTGCCGGCTGACTCGCTCGACGCGGCGATCTGCCTTTTCGATGAGAAAAATGAAGAGAAGGAAGAGGACGAGGCGAAAAAGGAGTGCAGCGATCTTCAAAGTCGCATTCTCAAGTACCTACACATAAGGGTGAGTAAATGATCGATCGATTTACAATGCATTATGCGATCATCGAGAAAATTTTTGGCACTTTGACACAGAACTTGATTGTATATCACTTATAGTAGTCCTACGTACTTTTACGCATACACGTGCTTGTGCCATTGCTCGATTCTAAATGTATACGTATTATAAGCGCTCCTGACCCTGAGACGCGCGACTATACGTGACGTTTTCGTCGCGGCAAAAAAGCAGCTTCGGCATATTACTGCCCTCCGCGCGTACTCGAGGGCAGTCGAGGCTCTCTGTTGGCCGCTCGACCTCGAAACCCAGAATTAACGCGACAATCATCGCGAGACTTGTTTTAGCCGTGTTGAGCCGATCGAATGGTACGCTTAGGGGGTGAGAAAAATCGACTCACGATCGGATACGTAGGAAATCGAATCGGATAACGTTGTCGCAGCGATCTCGTGTGTACTCGGCGTATGATGTATTATATCAAGTTCAGAGCTTTTCTTCGGAAGCTGCAAGAAAGTCGCCGACGAGCAGAGCGTCGTAACTCTCTCGCCGCCGCCGCCACCACCACCGCCGACGCCGCGGCGAAAGAGTGAAAAATTAGCATTTTATTGATTGCCATGGGATGAATAAAACGGGGAGGTGGGCTAATGGAGGGAGGTCTATACATATAATGCTGATGAGTGTGTGTGTGTGAGTGTGTGAGAGCGCGCGAATATAAAGCGAAGCAAAGAGTTCGAATCCGAGCGCGCGGAAGGGGTGGCGGCGGCTGCTGATATCTCTCTCTCTCTCACTGAGTCTGCAATGCTCTGCAATTTGCAAGCGCCCGCGAGACACATCGTGTATATAGCTCGTGTAAAAGTACTTTATACACACTTGATAGAAGCTCGCGAGTATATGAGCTCGTTGTGTAGCTGCGATGAATCTTTTCGCGCGCCAGCGAGAGAAAAACGGGGGCTGCTGATCGAGCTTTTTTCCACATCCGCGCAAGCTCTCGTCATTGTGCCTTAAATCATAGTCGCATACGTGTCGTATACATTTTATGTTCGATTGAAACTTCGAACTTGAATTATTCAGGATGTATTTGTTGAAAGTTCGAATGAATATTAAATACTGATTATTGTTTGTATAGATATCTCCCGACGACCGACTGACGAAAATGGTCTGCGCGACTTGCGTCGATAAGCTCGAGATGATACACGACTTCGCCACCAAGGCTCTGGAGAGTCAGGAGAAGCTACGCGCCGAATTGTCCTCCAAGAGATCTTCGGCGAGTTCGCAGCAGCAAGTGGACGATCGGCCGACGACCGACGACGATTACCTCCACGTCGCGCGACAGGATAATAAAAACTTGTTACACACGATGTTGACCCAGGTATTTGTACATGATAATTCGCTCAAAGTTTTTCCTTCGTTTGAAATTTTAATCTATGAATTAAATGCAGAAGCTGAAAGGGGCCAAGAACAAGAAGAAGGAAGAAGCTGAGGAGGCTGCTCCGAAAAATCGCCAAAGAACCCCGAGTACCGAAGAGATGGAGGTGAAGATCGATCCCATGTTGTTTCTCCAGTGTGCCCTGGAGTGCTCTCTATCCGACGAGAATTCCGAACTATCTAATGATTATTCGTCAGAGCGGCGAGAAGCAGAAACAGCGACCGACAATCATCATCGAGCTTTCGCGATCGGGCCAACGAGCAAGAAAAAGGCCTGCCGTGGTATCGATAAGAAGAGCAATTTTCTTGATGTCGACGACGACGATGACGACGACGAGAAAAATTTCGACAGCATCGAGGAGATCGTCGACGACAGCGGCGACGATCGCAACTCATCGTCGAGATCGGCCGATCGTCGACAACACGTCTGCAAGGTCTGCGCAAAGTCCTACGGCTCGCAGCTGGCCCTGCAGAATCATCTCTGGTCGCATCTGCCCACGGACCAGAAGGACATCGAGCATCGTCATAATCGTCAACATCGTCGCTTCGCCGACGTCGTCAACGGATCGTCGCAGTCGTCGCTACCACAGCCTCGTGGCTCCGACGACGACGAATTATTAGCCAGCGGCGCACGAATTCTAGATACCGCGAACGAGACGGACTGCTTCATCTGTCCGATTTGCGGAAAAAAGATCTCCACCAAGGGAAATTTAAAGGTACATCTGGAGACGCACAGGCCTAAGGGAAAGCACGGCTGCGACATCTGCGGCAGGATGTAAGTCGTTATCGCGAGAATTTTCTTAGACCACGCGAATGAATTTAAATTATATATCTCATTTTTCATCGTCCCCGCGCACAGCTTCAAGACGCAATCGAATCTGTTCCGTCACAAGGAGTACCACAGCGGCGTGCAGTTCCCCTGCTCGGTCTGCGGCCGCGTCTACCCGACCAACTCGACTCTGCGCGCCCACAGCATCACCCACTCGGACCTGCGCCCGCACGCCTGTCCGCTCTGCGACAAGACCTTCAAGCGCAATCAGGATCTCAAGTTTCACATCAATCAGCACACCGGGGCGCGTCCCTATCGCTGCCCCTACTGCCCCAAGGCGTTCGCCAGCTCGGGCAACTGTTTCTCGCATCGCAAGCGCATGCATCCGCGCGAGGTCAATCGGGATCGGCAGCGAGCCGCCGATCTCATGAGATGAGCCGAGCTGGCGGCCCGCGAGACATCGACCCGTTGAGCAGGTATGGCAGTAATAGGAATGATAGTTTCGTCGATGTTGTAGAAGCGAGTGTCGATGTTTTTTTTTTTGCAGGAGTAAAACAGCTCGTGGACCATCAGTGATAGAAAATAATTAAGCAACGACGATTTTCATATCTGTGTGTAACGAAAGGATAGCCACCCTGTGATAATTTAATTACTTCGTACTACATACTTCTCTTGTATTTAATAGAAAAACCTTCCAATATGTCTGGACCATTTTCCTATATCTATTGTATAGAAAAACGGGAATAGATGAACAAGCATGTGATGTACAATTAATGTTAGGTAATTAGCTAAATACATAAATGAAATTGGCGTTTAAGCGAACAATTATCGATACAGTCGTATTGATTATTAACTTGTAGGACTGTACATAAATACTTTTCGAAAATCACAATACGAGCTTTCAACGGCGAAACATATCGTTGTCGTTTATTTATATAGAAAAACAAATGTTTTGTAAAATCAGAAAATCTCGCGCAGACTGTAAATTAAACGTTGTACGTGTAATCTTTGTGTACTCGCGAAACTGCGGTGCAAATAATGGCACGACTTAATTAATGAGAGAGAAAAGTAACATTTGCTTTTTAATGCATTGTCCTTCGTGATGAATGTAGGCAATTTTGTATAATGTACAAGCGGCCAATTAAAAATTTTTAAATTATTTTACTCGCATTCGTTGAAAAAACTTCCCGAGGATATGAAAGAAAAATTATCAAGCAGAAGAAATTAATTAAAACGTGATATAAAAAATATATAGTATTTAATGTCCGAGAGTGAACTCGTTACAAGCACATAAACGTATAATTATATTTATTACAATGTATAATGTTTTTATAAATAATATTCTTCGTCGATAGTTTATTAATCATAATCAAGGCTGTAAAAGCAAAAATAACAACAAAGTTTACTCGAGAAGAGAATACATTCCTTCAAAAATCGTCACTCATAATATTGTACACCGGTGTGCGTTTGCAAAGATTATTTATTATCGTAAAAATGGTTTTTACTTGCGTACAGGTTTTATCGTTGGTTCGTATAATATTATACATGAAAATATATTACGTTGTTTACTCGCTGATATCGCGGCTCGCAAAAGTTCACCGATTATTGAATTAACCGATAGTCGTTATGTGCGTATGTCTATAATAACGATGGCAAAATCAGCGATCAATAATACATATTATAACAATATAAATATATCTATTAGTATACAGAGACAAAGCGGAGTATGCGATTGTGATTTTATTTGAAAACTACACGACGACAATGGGGAGTCCAGGAGAAAATTTTCCACAATATGTGCGTTGATAACTGAGTATTTCAAATAAAAACGAGTAATAATTAAAAAAATATATTTGTCGTTTGATATGTGTCATTTTCATATACCAACCCCACACAATACTATGTAATAGCTGCTAGGAAAAAAGCACGCGAGAAAAACAATTGTCTCGCGTCGACAAGTCTGTTACATTATATTAATTTATGGTAATTCGCGCGGTGGCGAGTCGACAAAGACGAGCTGCTGCTGCTGCTGCTCGGTCGATGCTCTTCGGGTGGGATGTGCCTTATTATATTACATATTATATATGTGCGTTATATATATTGCACATATGGCTGATAATCTTGACCTTTGCCGTTTACGCATACTCACATACACACGCTCGCTCACCGCCCCGGCAGATTTTATCCGATTAAGTGCAAGACCCGAGACTGCCTCAGTCCGAGGCGACATTTCTTCCGTGTCACTCGCTTGCGTTCATTTGCATCGCGCTCATATATATGTGGGATTATTTCTCTGTTTATTTATGTATTTTTTGTAACGTCGCAAATTTGAGTTAAGACACGAGCGACGGTGATTCGACGAAGATCATTGAACATTGTGTCGAGCGACGAGTCTTGCGATCGATACCGCAATCCACATGAGCTGTGAGTGATCGTTAGAATTCGAGTAAAGGATCGACATTTCAAGTATCTTACGTAGTGAATGTGATTCGCCGACGATGGCTAGTGCAACTGTAATAAAGGGTGAGTCAAGTCTAACGATATTATTTTAACAACAAGATCTCGTAGTGAAGAAGTTATTATTTTTCAAAATGAGTAAGAAAAAATCAGCCTTTCGATTTATGATGTAAATTTTTCGAAAAATGTGTAATCAATAAATCTACAAAAAAGAGGTAATTTTCTTGCATCAGAAAATCATTATGCTGCAGTTTTAAATAACAGATTTTCTTCGTAAACACCGGCGATATAATACTCACGTTCTACGATTTATCACGAGTCTTTAAAATGTAATTTTTTTCAAGATTTTTATCTATTATCTCTTGCAGTGATTTTAAAGTTGTTAAGTTACGTTCGTAACGACGTATCGTTAAAGCTGCTGCGTGCGTATCGTTAAAATATCAAATTTTTAATGAGCCAGCTTTCACTTTTTCATGCCGTTTGCTCTACGTAATGTTGATGTTTGTTTTTTTTTTCTTTTTATATTGATAATTTGTGCATAACCAACACGTTTGGGTAATTTTACGTTTACTCGAGCTGTTAAAAATATACATTGACATACTTTTTCGTCTGCCTCTTTACGCTGTTAATTGCATTCGCTTTGCTGATAATGAACTTGGTGTTAATAATTATATATTTCCTGATAAAAAAAGATGGATCATCAGTCGTATGAACTTTATACGAAGAGACTTTGACTGATGATGATACAAAGGAATCGCGAGAGATAGAAAACGGAGAAACGAAAATCGGTAAACTTCGAAATTTCATTGACGACCTTTAAATAGCAACGTCTGGAATTTGAAGTAAAATAATTTCGTTTTTGAAGTTTAGCTAGTCAATCAATCATACGTTTATCAAACGAGCTGCAAATACAAAAGTTTAATAATAAACGCTCGGCGAAATAAACAAAACACGTTCTATTTATGAAACCGGCATCGGATTTTTCATAACAAGTCGTTTATGCGCATACGAACAGAGACGTATAACGATTCACAACAATATTCGCATCACGCAAAAGTTGAAAAACTTTCAAAACACGTGAATATCGTAGGCCTCGAGAAGTAAACATCGCTGGCGCGGATCATCATCGTGGAAGTAAAAAAAAAAGTCTCTCGGACGAAGCTCAGCGAAACTCGAACCGGTAATTGCTGTATTAACAGTAATCCGAGGAGAGTCTAGATCGTTATTCGCCTCGAAGAATGTTTCAAAGTCAAAAAAGTCTCTCTCTCTCTCTCTCCTTCCTTCTCTCTTTGAAGTTCTCTGTAGGGCAGTAACGGCAGCAGAGAAAAGGGAAAGTTTTAGCTTCCCCCCTTGACGTCGGCCAAGGAGGATCGTTTTCAAAGGGCACGAACATATGCTCAACTTCGTATACTTGAACCTCGCGAGGTCGCATACACACATACGTCAAACCTTGGAATATTATGTTGTGTGTGCCTTGCGGAATTTCATGAATCGTCGGACGGATATATGCGATGCTCGCTCGCTCGCGCGGATATCGCGTGCTTCCGCAAGCTCGGTAATAAGGCAGGCAAGCGAAAGAGAGAGAGCGAGAGAGAGAAAGTTTTCACGCGGCGACCTCCACAAACACACAAACACACGACCTGCCCTCCCCCATCATTCCGAAACGACGACGACGACGACGACTCAGCTGTGGTGTAAGTCCGCGTAATTGAGCTGCATACGCTGTTGCAGTTTGTTTGATCGAAGTCTCGCACCGTACCGTGTGTGTATATAGATGTACCATCGCGAGGTCTCTACATGGTATAAGAGAGACGATCGGCTTGCGCGCGCCCACCTTTGACGAACGCGCGTCTCTCGTCGCGGGGGGGCTTCTGCCGTTATACTCACTTTACTACGGTAGATCGTCGTCGTCGTCGACAGCTCGTCGTCGTATACCGTCGTGTGTGCTCGTAGCTTAGCCAGAGCTCAGTCAGTCGCTCGTCGAAGATCGTCGGCTCAGCACAGGTGGATCGACGCGACGACGCGTCTCAATAATAATAGAGCTTCTTAACGCAGGTACGTGCGTGATATAATTGTTATTACGATATCGATGCTGAATGTCTCGAAAGCTCGTCTCATTTTTATCGCCTAGGCACATCTGAACTTATGTGTATACGCGATCTCTATTTATTCGTTTTACTCGTTGTGCGTATGCGACGCGACCAGAGGCCGATGACCACGTGCGATGCGAGCTTTTATTGAGCAGCGCTCGAGCGAGCTTTGAAATTAACTCGGCTCTCGTGAGTGCGTGTATCAAGATATAATCTGACTTGCGATCGGCTCGCATTATAAGTAGCGCCGACAATGTCTGCGCCTCGAAGCGATGTGTCGTCGCCTAATACGAGAGCACATCGTGCGCTATTTTCATCGAGCGCGCGCCTTTCATCTTTTTGTCGCGCGAACTCTTTGGCCAGCAGCAAGCACTCGAAGCGTATAGCCGATGTACGCACGTACGAGCCGAACTTCGCTCGCCAAAGTTTTTAATTAAATTATTTCTGCGCTTTGATCGGCCCGTTTCGGATTCGTTGGAAATCGCATCGTCGTCGTTGTGATTTTACGCAACTCTTCGGGACGCGCCGAGTTTTTATTATCGTTTTATCACTCGCTCGTTCGTTCCACTGGGAATTCATAATTTTTGTGCTTCGAACGTAACTCAGAGATATCCTGAACGATTCCTTCGTCTGCGCTGCACGTGACATTCGAGTTAAACGAGTGAATACATAACGTATCCACATTTCAATCAATGAGACGTGCGCTAACGTAAATCTCGCAAAAAATTTGCGTATACGCGAGTGCACGAGTATACAACATACATATTTTACCGTTTCCATACTTTTTTTTATTGTATATATAGTAATAATAAATGCTGCACGAGAGATAAAAATATTTTTTTTTCTCATGCGTCATGCGTCGCAATAGAACTAACGAGATAAGAGAAGAAAGAGAGAATATTATTCGGTTTCGTGCATTAAAACACGATGTTTTAATTCACGTGTACATAGCGTATTTTTCCGCTCGCGTGCCGAGTTACAATAGACGAAAAGTTTCGTCGAGCGCTCGTTGATACCGCGATGTACGCAGCACTTTCGAGGCTCTTTAAAGCGCCCAAAAACCCGATATAGGTCGGTGGAAAGTAATTTCGCGCGGAGAGAAGCATTGCCTAATCGAGGAAACCGATCTCTCGATCGACGCGGATGTGTATTATTATGTTTTCATCGACGCGCGGCTAAACGATGCAGTCATACTATCCGTAAAGAGAATAACTTTGAAAACTCGTTTGAACATCGTTTAATTTCTTACTCTTTTTCGTCGTGTGTAAGGAAGGAAATCAGAAGTTATATCGAGATTTCGTGCGATCGCATATAACGTCGATTCAAGGCCGCGCGCCGAGTCGCTCTCGATTAATAAATAAAAAAATTAAGCGATTGCATGAATAAGTGAATCGATCCCAAACACAGACTTTACGTACTTTTTTGTAAGGCCATGCTCGTGTAGGTGGTGTCAATGGTTAAGTCTCGGTTTTTGTACACTGTGTGCTATTATATTATGCCCTAATGCCAATTTTGTTACACTCGTGTAACGAGGTGACGCTTCGAATGAGCATTCGATAACATAATAGGTATAAATCTTTCCTCGTGCGGTAGATATAAACTTGTATAATGTTAGTTATTTACGGCTAGCAATTATTGTCCAATAAAGTAAAAAAATGATAGATTTTGACATTTCAAAGCCGTAACGCGTGTATCGGAGCTCGAACGATTGTGAAAACCTGTTTGGGCGATGATGATAATTTTTTTTACGTACGATTTTTCCACGATTTTTAGGATGCCCGAGGTCGTTCCCGGCCTATACGAGTGTAAAGACATTACGGGCTCATATTTCAAAATACCCGCAGCTTTGCCACTGTTTGTCGATAGGTATAATATATATATATAATATATCACATCGGAGAGAGTCAACACGCAGAGTGAAAAGGGGGCCAAGTGCAAAAAAGAGCCGCATACACGATGTATGACCTTGATCGAGGGAATCGGTTGAAACTTGGCCTATAATACCGGAACTTGAATTTTCAAAGTAAGGAAAAGACTGATCTGACGTTGACGAGCGTGCGAATCTTGTGTATCCGTGTATCAAGTGCAACGTACTCCATGAAGCTCCGTAATATATACGAATGTGTGTTAGCTGCGCGTATACTCGCGATTCGATCGCGAGCCGATCGATATTCGTGCGTGGGCGGCGCGGTATTGAACTCGATTCGACAGAACTTGAGCTTTCCTTTATAAGTCGATAAATTGTATGTGAGCGTACAAGTGCCATAGGATGGCTACAAGCGCTTCTAATTTGTTTGTTCAATTTCGATACCTGTCACACTGCCCGATATCTCCCTCGAGGGGTTTGTTTTTCTTGCACCGTCCGACATTTGACAATTGCAAATCAAACTCGTGGACTCTCGAAAGACTATATGTACATAAAGCTTTGTACAGCGCGCAGCAACGCCACCAAACGGTAGAAATACCCCGCGTGGTGTGATTCGCACTCTCTGCTGCTGCTGTGTGCGGCGCAGGACATGACGCTTAGCTCGTGTATGTATACACGATCGAAAAAGCAGAGAGACAGAGTGCTAATACTGGCACTGTAGCGCAGTGATATTATAGAGCTCTATGTGTATGTGTATTCTGCGCGCGCTCAAATTTTGCTCTTCTCTCTCTCTCTTTCTCTCTTTCTGGCATTTCGCACACTGCCCCCGAACTCCGAAGTCAGATAGGTGTTAGCATTCGAGAAGTCAAAACTGCGCGCCTGGTGTCGTCGCTCTTCGCAACAATACACACACACACGCTTGCAAAAAAAAAACTCGCACGCACGATTTTTGAGCTCCGTTTTTCTAATTTCTTCGCACATCGGCAGATATCCTTGGAATCGGCAAGAAGGCCAGTAACGGCAACAATCCAAGAGTCAAGAGCAGCAGCAGCAGCAGCATCGGCGCTACGGACGCTGTGCAAGGTCACCCGCGACGCGACGAAGACAAGGTGGACGGCCCGGTGAAAACGACGTTGGCTGCTGCCGCCAGTTGCAGCAGCACCAGCAGCCACAGCATTGAGAGCCAGCAGCGAACAACGAGAGGCAGCAGCCGCAAGCGCAAAATGTGTGACAGCCAAGCAGGACCCGATTCCTGCTGTCTGTCGCTGCAGAATGGAGCCGTACAGCCGCTTCTAACCGGTAATTTATTACAAAATACCTGCCGTATGATGACATTTTTAGAGCATCGTTGCTGCTGTATAACCTACAGTCGATGAACAGCGCAAATCGGAGTTTTTTCTTGGTTGACGCAAGAACTATAATTTGCTCGCTATTTTCATGAATGAAATCATGTTTATTTTTCTAATGATGCATGTTCTATTCGTACTTTGGCTGTTTTTCTTTCGATTCTGATGCAAAAGTACGGTGTTTACGATAAGACAAAAATCACGACGAAATATAAGTTTGCAAACACGGAGAGAAAGACGCTTTTATTATTACGCCATCCACGGCGCGAGCGCACGCGTGTTGTGTAACATGAGCCGCTTCTTTGCTCTCTAGGACGGTCGATGACACTCAATACCATTTTTGCCGCCAAATTTGAATTTTTGTTTTTGTTTCTCGTCCCACGCAGATCTGTACCAAATAACGATGGCCTACGCCTACTGGAAGAACGGCAAGATGAAGGATCACGCCGTCTTTGATTTGTTTTTCCGTCGGAATCCTTTCCATGGCGAGTTCACCATTTTCGCCGGGCTTGAAGAGTGCCTCAAATTCCTCGACAAGTTTCGTTACACCGACAGCGGTGAGTAATACTTTTTTTGGTTTTCCCATGTAACGTTTTGTTGACTTGTCCATTAAAATACCTTGTTGTAATTTTAGACATCGAATATCTTAGATCGACCATGCCGACTTCGGTTGAACCAGAATTTTTTGACTTTTTGAAAAGTCTTACTGCTAATGATATTTTGTTGTATGCTGTCGAAGAGGGATCGGTAGTGTTTCCAAGGTAATTGCATTTTACCTCTTCCACCCTTGCTTTTACTTTTTTTTTGTAATTATTCAAATTTCTTTTCTTATTTTCAGAGTACCACTTTTGAGAGTCGAAGGACCATTAATCATGGTGCAGCTTTTGGAAACAACTTTGTTAAACTTGGTCAACTTTGCAAGCTTAATGGCTACAAATGCAGCTAGATACCGAATGGTAGCTGGAAAATCTGTATCTCTCTTGGAATTTGGTTTACGCAGAGCTCAAGGGCCTGATGGGGGTTTGAGTGCTTCAAAGTACAGTTACATTGGTAGGAAAAATGATACCTTCAATTATATTTTATTTTGCCATGAACTTATTCATATTTATTAACTCATTATTAATTTTCCCCAAAGGTGGCTTTGATGGAACTAGTAATGTTCTTGCTGGAAAATTATACCAAATACCTGTCAGTGGAACTCATGCTCATGCATATATTATATCATACACTAGTTTTAATGATTTACACACCAAGGTTTGTATAAATATATTTTTCTAACTATGAATGTTTTGAAACGTCTAACTTTTTAAACCCAAGTGAATATCAACAAGTTGAACTATTTTTATAACTCTTAATTGATAATCATATTTTTAGATGCTAGCACATAAAGATACTGGAGAGGAAATAGATATATTGGAACTAGCTTGTGAATATCGGGATCAAATTGCTACAGATGTTGGTGCTATAGCATCTGAAGCTTCTGAAGGAGAGCTTGCGGCTCTTATTAGCTATGCCATAGCATTTCCAGATGGATTTATGGCTTTAGTAGACACTTATGATGTAAAAAGGTAACATATTATTACATTATATATCAATCTTTCTTCTTCACTCTTTCTAATTTATTTATCTTGTTGACTTCGTTATTCTATGAAATGTCTACTTTAGTCCAAACTGAATTCATTAAAAACACAACGTTTCTCAATGCTTGTATGTGTAACATGATGAAAATATAAACTAACTTCTTGTGTTTTGAATTATCTTATTACCTTTGGTAACTTATGAGAGATTGTCGACGTTTGAAAAGTTTAGTTTTACGCGAAAAAAAAGAAACCATTACCGAAGCTAACAAAAGTGTGTTTATAGTGTAACGTCAGCCAAGCGGCAAGCAAATGTAGACAGCCTAAAACTAACGAAAAAAGCTCTAACTAACGGCAATAATAAGATATCTCGTACTACTGTCGCGAAACACGATTCAAATTTATCAGCCGGATCGACTTGGTCTGACAAGAGCGGCTTATTAAGACACGATGAATTGGGTGAGCTCTACGTAAGGTACGATCACGTGGGTACTTTTCACATTAATCAATGTGAGAATATCATTGCTACATTAGGCACATTAAAAAAAAGTAAAAAAGAAGCGAGAGATCGATATAGAATGCTCTCCAATAACATAAGCAAAAGACTCACTATGCATCATCCACTCATCCAGCTGCTTTAAAGCATGATTTTGATACTCAAAAATGACGTAAATTTTTGTCTGAAACGTCATTTTCCAACTATTGCTATTCAAAGTTGAAGACTCAAGCATGATGATTTTTCATTTTCAAACATAACGTTTTCTTTAAAATTCGAGACTGATTTTTACAAAAAACATTGCCTTCAATACTAATATCCTTGTTCAGAAAAAGCGACCTTATGACGTGCCCTCCCCAATTCAACGTTTGCTTTTAAAAAAATACTCTATATATTTTAAGCAGGTGGTCAAGTACAAATTTAAATACTTCATGGACATTCAAATTTGTATTCGATTCTAAATGAAATATAAATTTTAAAACAAGCATTTGAAGCGCAGTTTTGAAACCGATTAATTGCACTTTACTCTGAATATACAATTTTTCAATTTCATGCCTGAAAGACAAATCTACTTGTATAATAACACTATGCTTGTTACAAAACGCTTATTAACTTTTCATGATTTCAAGTGAAAATGATACTTTATGCTTTTTATTAACACTAATTGCTATTGAAATTCATTTCAAAATGTTGCTATTAGCTGGCATTATTAGTGTCTGGTTTACTTGCACTTTCACAGTATTTAAAATGTTTACTTAATTTTTATTTTACAGGAGTGGTTTGTTAAACTTTTGTGCAGTAGCTCTAGCTTTGCACGATATTGGTTATAGAGCTATTGGAATAAGAATAGATAGTGGAGATTTGGCTTATTTAAGTCAGGCTGCTAGAGAAATATTCTCTAAAATTGCTAAAAAATTTGACCTACCATGGTTTGCAAAGCTGACAATTGTTGCTTCTAATGACATCAATGAAGAAACTATTGTCAGTCTGAATGAACAGGTATGCATAACTTTATAAGAAACTTATAATTAAAATTTATAAATAACATTATTTCTTACTCACAGAATCATAGGATAGACTGTTTTGGTATCGGGACGCATTTAGTAACATGTCAGAAGCAGCCAGCCTTGGGTTGTGTTTATAAATTGGTTGAAATTAATAATCAACCTAGGATAAAGTTAAGTCAGGAAGTTGGAAAAGTAACTATGCCTGGTAGAAAAGCTGCCTATCGATTGTATGGAGCTGACGGACATGCATTAATTGACTTACTCCAAAGAGTTGAAGAAGATGCTCCAGAAGTAGGACAAAAGATTTTATGCAGGCATCCTTTTGAAGAGTCAAAAAGAGCCTATGTAATTCCATCAAAAGTAGAGGCTCTCCACAAGGTATGCAATCGGATATTTCAGTATTAAAATAGTAAAGTATCAATGTATTAAATTTGATTTTACAGTTGTATTGGGAAAATGGTAAAATCTTGTACAAACTCCCAACTCTTCTGGAAACTAAAAACAGAGTAAAGGAATCATTAGCAACTCTTCGTAATGACATTAAACGAAATCTCAACCCCACACCATATAAGGTATAACAGAAAATATCAAATTGTTCATTATAGAATATTATACTTGAATGCATAAATGATGAAATTGGCTTTTATTTCTATATAGGTATCAGTCAGTGACAACCTGTACAGTTTTATTCATGATTTATGGCTCCAAAACGCTCCAATTGGAGAATTGTCTTGAATATTCATGAATGTACTTACCAAGACAATTTTTTTTGGTCTTACTACTCTACAGACATATTCTATTGAAGTGGAAGGTAAATTGTAAATTTTAAAAATAATGGAGTTAACAGAAATATTGTGGCTTGATAGTAGGACAAATTATCCTTATATAGGGGGCCTTATAAAAAAAATGTAATTAGTAGTAGGTTTTATGGCAGTAAAATGTGTTATTTTTTGTAACTCATATTCATGTGATTTTGGTAACTTATTGTACAAAATTCAGATCAATATTACATACTAACGTTTGTTGAAGCTGTTAATTTTATGTCATGTATTTTTATAGAAATCTTTGGTCAAATCTTTGACAGATGAAATTATTTTATGTAGATTTTACAACCAAAATTAACTAAAAATATGAATTTATTACGATTATGTAAAATAAATGTAATATAGACATGTAGTTTACTACAACATGTACAAATTTATGTTGACGGCTATTATTTTTAATAGTAAGTTAGTACATGTTAGTATTGTGATAGTAATTGTTGACTATTATGATTATAATGTGCATATTTGAAAATTGTTAGTCTTACATCAATTATATTGATGTAAGAATATTTCTCTGAAGTTAATGATTTTTTATACTTTTCACGTAAAATTATACATTCCTATTACCTTATTTTTTATCATCGTCTAAGGAGATGTGCATAATCCTGTTGTAAAGATTATTCTATTTGTTACAATAATTTGTTTATTTAAATGTAGAGTTTGCATAATAAATATTGTTATCATAAAATTCTGTGTTTCTTTTATCTACCCAAATAGTTCATGGAAAACTCATAGTAATCTTATCCCTGTACATTGATAATAATGAAACATTAAATGAACTACTGAGATTTTAATTAACGTTGAATTTTCTGTACTTCTTTGATCTATCTAAACAGCTTATGGAGAACTCATACAGAAATCTTATTCCAGTACATTGATAATGATGGATCATTAGATGCACTGATGAATTATCATTAGCATTGATAAGAGTTGATTTAGAATTGATTTTGAATGACGGCAAAATAGTGATAAGTAATAAGTATGTGTCACTTTATTACATTAAATTTTTATTTACAAGAATGTTGATCACACATACATCTCAACAATACTGTGCAATAATAATACAACAATATATTTTGAATAAACACTTAAAGTAAACAATTTACAGATTATTTTCATATGAATAATATGAGGAATAGCCAACCTCGTGGCGATCCGAGTTTTTCTTGTAAACAAGCTCTAATGAATATCCTCGGGATTGAACATACCCTTGGCGCGACGCAGAATCGAGTCCTTGGACGCGTCGTAGGGATGATCCTTGCTCGGTATCTCCAGCACAGATGGAATGGGCTGAGTGTGGCTGTCGATCACGTGACGAATCATCTCGGCGATGTTTTGATTGATCAATATGATGTCGATGTCGTCGCGCTTGATGAAGCGCTTGAACGTCTCCTCGATCTCGCCGACGGCCGTGTTCTTGTCGACCACCATGAAGTTCGAGTGGCGATGTTTATTGATCTCGCCCACGCCACCGAGGAGGAAGCCCACGCAGGTGTCCTCGTCGCCGATCACGGCCAGGAGTTTTCCCTTGCCAGCTGAGTGCAGAGACATGATTTGCGATGTGGTGCTGCGTGTGTTTTCTTCACTGGAGAATCGACGAATGCACGTAAATGCGCACTACCGTGTGTATCGAAGCTTAGAGCGAACAAGTCAGAGTTCACGCGAGCGTCGTTTATGTAGCTTGGCTTCGGGCACGGCCAAGATCATGTGACACACTAGCAGAACGAAGCACACCAGCTGAGCATGTGATCTCGTCTCGTGCTTCACTCACACTCTCGGGGCAGCAGCAGCGATACAATTTTCAACGTGCGACGATGCCTCGTTCTTTTCGTGGAATAAAATAAAAGGTTTTTAATTCACTGGTTATGCGACCGTATATGCTAAAGAAGTCAATTTAAATACCATACAAATAGGCGTCTGCTGAAGGAGTCCAGATCGAATTCTGGCTTGTAATGATGCGACGAATAGTCGTGAACGGCCAAAACTGACAACTTTGCGCGTGTGCGTGTATAGACTGGAGGATGCTTGTCAGTGGCTTTTAATGGCCTGCGAGTGTGTGGGGGTAATGCAGTCGGCGCAGTGCTCCGAACGCAGCATTGAATGAGTCGTCTGCTTCGTCAAGTTTCCCATGAGAGGCTCTGCGATCGTTTCGTGTCGTTCTGAAATCCGTTCGATGCATTAAGAATTGCGCGCACTTCGAATTCCGATTCACGTTTAAATATCAAATTTCAAAATTTTTCATTGATAAAATTCACTCGTTGCGAGAATATTGCTTTTATTACGGTACGCGTATTATTAGCTATTCCGAAAATCCTTTTATTATTGAATGATGCTGTAAAACCAAATGTATTCTCAACTCTGCCGACATAAGATAATGGTAGCGGAATGAATTGCAATTTTCGTTTAGTGCAAACCCAGCACAGTCGCGAAATGAAACTTCATTCCCTTTTACAGTACAAACGTACCGATACCACTTAGAGTCTACCATCATACAGTTGCAAAGTTGCACTGACGTGCACAAACACAGACAAAGGCTCACCGCTCAAGTAGATTCGCTGAGATTTGGCAAGAGTGCAGAAGTGGCAGCACCTATATAGGCAACAACTAAAGCGGTTCTGGATGTAACAAACACACTAAATAGAGTGAACCAAATCGGAGTGCAGAGAAGCGCTTTCAATCAGTGATTAATAAACAAAAAGTACTCGATTTGAGTAAAGTATTGCTTAGGATTAGTGTTGACCATTCGCCGATTATCATCGGTACTCAGGTAATTCTTACTTGTAATCTATATTTCAATAAAATTTAAGTCTTTCAAGACTTAACCTTTCTTCGGAAAGAATTCACTTTCTAATCTTTCATTCGCTTGTTTTCGTAAACATTCTTTTGTCTTTTATTTTTTTATTGAAACTGTTTTTATTGAGTGACTCAAAAATTCAGAAATATAACAAGTAACAAGTGTATTAGAGTAAGTCTGGGATACATTTTATAATCTATGAAATCAAACTTTGTGATTGAAATGTTATTTCAGCATTTTATTCTTTTTGAAAAGTATAAAAATTCTAACAGTTGTAACTATTTGTTACAGTATTAAAAATGAATAACCCAGGACGACTTCTGAAGGATCCAGCTACGGCTGCATGCCGTATTTTTATTGGGCATCTACAAACAGAAGAGATGAATCGCCAAGAGCTGGAGGATCATTTTTCAAAATATGGCAACATAGTTGGTGCTGTATTGAATCGTGGATTTGGTTTTGTTCAATTCGAAGATGAACAATCTGCTCAAAATGCAATCAAAGGTGAAAATGGTGCTATGTTCAAAAATCGAAGAATAGGTATGTCTTTTTATAATGTTTAAAATTTGATTATTTAATATTCTTGAATAAAATTGATACTAAATTTTTCTGCAGATGTCAAGCCTGCCACAAAAAATGCTCCAGGAGGAATGGGTGGAAATATGGGTGGTGGCATGAATCAAGGTGGTAACAACCAAGGGGGTAATAACATGGGTGGATTTGGTGGCAACGACTCCTTTAATAATAGTTTTGGCAAAGGAAATAACTTTAACAATCCTAATTTTGGAGGTGATAACCAATTCAATAGAGGACCAATGGGTGGAAAAAACACTTTCAATCAAGATCAAGATGATCCTTTTGACAATGGTAATTCATTCAACGTGAATAAAAGTGGCGGTCCTCCTTTTGGAGGAAACCGTCCAGGAGGTCCTGGCATGAGAAACCAAAATGATCCAGAAACCATGGGTCCTGGAGGTCCTGGAAACATGGGAGGTCCTGGAAACATGGGAGGCCCAGCAAGTATGGGAGGTCCAGGAAATATGGGAGGCCCTGGTGGACCTGGTGGCAGAGGAAGAAAATCGCGGAAAGGAGGACGAAATCAGAATGATTCATTTGGAGATGAAATGGGAGCAGATATGGGTAAAGGAATGGGCGGTCCAGGTATGGGAAATCGAATGGGTGGAGGTATGGGAGGCAGAATGGGCGGAGGTATGGGAGATCCGATGGATAATCGCGGAGATATGGGACCGAACTTTCGTCAAGGTATGGGTGGGCCAGATGGTAATATGGGCGGTGGATTTAGAGATAGAAGTCCATTGAGAGGACCTAAACGAATGGAAGATAATCCTTTAGCAAACTGGGAAATGAATAAACCTGGACCTGGTGGACCTGGAGGACCTGGAGGTCGTGGAGGACCTGGTGGGCGTGGAAACTTTGGAGGTTTTGGAGACTCTAAAGGCAGTCGATTTGACGATTTTAAAGGTCCACCAGGACCACAAGGAGGAAGAGGAATGGGTGATATGGGCCCTGGGCCACGTGGACCCAATTTTGGGTAAGTACAGTAGTACTTTTTTGTTTTACGTTTTATCTTTTAAATATATTTGTCATTAACTTTTTTTTACTAGACCTGCACCAGGACCAGTTAGTGAATACCCCTCAGTTGCTGCTGAGAAAAATGATTGTGAAATCATTGTTGTAACTAAAGCATTAACGTAAGTAATTTCGAATAATATGTTAAAGATAATAATGAATTAATAAAAACTGAAAAAAAATTTTTAGGGAATATGCTGAAATCATTGAAGCAAGATTGAAAAAATTAGGACTGACAGTGGATTTGCTTTTCCCCAATGAAGATGTTCCGTTAACAAGAGTACTTGGAAATATTGCAAGCAGAGGCTGTTTGTATGCTATTGTCATTGCACCTACAAATAAAGAGCATCGTTCCTTGACCTTAAATATTTTACATGGACTGCCACAAGGTAAATAAATTTTGATATTAATTTTTGTCTTAGTCTCTGTGAATCTCTATGAATTTATTTATTTTGTATTGCACAGAACACAGAAACATGCCAGTAGACGACGCTATCAATCTAATAATGCGTGATTTTAACAACTATAAGTGTGGAGGTCGCAGTGTTCCATCAAATGTACCTTCGGCGCTCGATCGTCATCCTGATGCTATTCAAGTTTTGCTGAATATGTTAGCTGACAATTTACAATTAACAGTACTTCAGTATGAGCGTATTATCAAATACTTGGAAATGAGAAGAGAAGAGCAAGTTCAGATTGAACTTGGCGAGGATGCCAAGAACTTGGGTCCTACATTAGTTAGCGATCCAAAACAGGCTGAATTGCAGTCCAGAATTTTGAATATTCTAAATAGCAATAAAACCAGTACCAACTCGTCCACTCCTAATACAAATGTAACCACGACAGCGGTGCCTAGTCCAGTTCCACCGCCGATATCAGGTAAACTAACAACGATGACGTAATGAAGCGAGTTTTAAATGTTAATTACTGTGGCTTTAAATAGTTTAGTCGATCTAATTCATCGCGACTCTTTACAGAATTTTTAATAATTTACAATTAACCATAGCGAAGTCGTGATAAATATGTGGCAAAAAGGAGCTAGCCAGTTGCAGAGTTCTCGAAAATTTCAATGTTACTGATAATATAATCTCAACAATTTTTCCTTTCCATGAATCGCGCTTTGGTGAATATTAAGTATTTATATTCACTTCTTTCATCGATCAGTTATTAATGACGCGTATGTTTGCACTTTTTTGCAAGAATTTCGTGAGTATTTACTGATTCGATTTTCTTGGAATTTTGACAGGTGGAATTATTTCGTTATATTGAAATGTTCCAAGAATATAATATTCCTATTTTAGAATGAATCTATTCAATGATGAGCGTACATTCTGTAAAGCGACTTGGTCATAATTTTTGCTGTGCTTTGAAATTATGTTTATATTTCGATGCAATCAGCTTTCGGTTTTCATTGGTGATTTTATAAATAAAACTGTACATTTTGTGCAGTTTTATGGCGTTATTTATGTTTGAGAAAGCAAAATCATTTCAAGCTATTTTTTATAGCAATGAAATTGAAATTTTTTTATAATTATAAGGCGTCGCTCAATTCGTAATATCGTTATATATCGGTACGTTTTACGTTCGACGGTAATATTTAATTTATGACATTTAAATTTCATTACAAGTTATTTTACTTTATTGGTCATGAAATTTCATAACGAAAATCGGTAATGATAGCAGAAAACTTGTTTGAGATCGAATAGGTCAGCTTTTTTGTTGAATTTTACTATAGAGTATATTTACGTAATCTCGATTTTTCCTATTTGTGAACAATTTATTTGTTGTTCACATAGGATGTATAGGTTCGGTTTTAAACTTGACAAATAATCACTATCGATCGTGATGTTCATGTTATTCGCGATTTTCAGCTAGGGGTTTAGCTGTGGCATTGTTGGTATTTGCCGGTTTTATAAAAATATTTCACAAGCCACAGTATTTTTATGAAATTTTACGATCGCACTGTCTTTCTTTTTGACTATGTGTGTTCGAAAAAACAAACTTTCGTCTTCATTTCTCATTTTGAGAATTTGAAAAAAGGCTGCTTTTTTCAAATTTATTTCAATCGAATATTCGTTTCGCGTTTCGTAGTGATAATGTAGCGCGATGATTTGTTTTTTATTAATATTTTGAGACACGGCAAAGTAAGCATAAACATATTGTTTCTTACTTTTCACACTGTTTGTGTCGATAGTTTTCTTTTAGACGAAAGTGCGAACGTCAGTCGTTAGTTTCACGGGAAACCAAGTGTTTTTTTCCGAGTTGACAGTGTACAATTTCGAGAGTTATAAAAAATAAATGTAGAAACAACAGGTGTTGTCATAAGTTTATTCAAACTTTTTCATTTCTAGGACTTTAAAAATGTTAACAAATTAATATTTTCTTCCTCAGCGGTATCGACGAGCACGACCAATAACACAACCTCGAATTCGACCACAAGTACGGTGACGCCGTCGCCCTTACTGAACGACCCCACCGTCCAGAAGGCACTCGACAGTCTCATACAGGGAAATTTATTGAAAAACATCGGAGACCAGCCTAGCAACAACACCCCGACGTCGTCGGCCCCGCTCTTCGCTGCTTTCCCCAATATTAATAGATTTTAAAATTATAAATTTATAATTTAATTATACATAAACAAATAACGTATTACAATTCCGGTTTACATTTATACATAATCGTGTATAAACCAAATGAAAAAGATTAGCTGTGACTTATATTATGTAACCTCTTTTAATAAATGCTACATTGCCTCAGATACAATTCAAGTCGTTGTTTTTTTTTTTTTTTGGCTTTTTGTACTTTTGATGAAGATGTCCATCCACCAACTCAATCATCGAGGAGTGAAGAATTAATTTTTTTTTCTTTCGTCTTTTTGCATGAGTAATATCTTTGAATGTACACTTTTAACATAAAAATCAAGACATAGACAAGACACAAACAAGTTACTAATGTACATTTCGACATGTCACATTAATTCAAGGAACTGAGTTTCGTCAAATTCAAAAGTAAGTACAATTTACTTATCATTATCCTTTGCATCCAATTTTTATCGAGTTTATGGATCTAAAAAAGAAACATGCGAATATTACTTCAAGTACTAAAAAAAATTTGATTGTTGCAGTAGCGAATAAGCACGAAGCGAGAAGCAGTAAGAAGCAATTCGATCATTATTGTTCAGCCTATAAATTTCTATAAAAGCATCGTTATAGGAAACAGTAGGCAGCGTAAGCTGAAAGCCAGAAATGCGAGCATTTATTTTTTGTAATAAGAAGCCTCCTGAAATTTACCGAGATAGTAGCTCTTGAGATACTGGACAGCGTGGACGATCTCCTCGCATGGCATCTTGGCCTCGGCGTAGAGCACCTCGAGGATGCTCTTCACCGCGTCGATGTCGTACTTGTCGGCCAGCAGCCTCTGCCTGTAGGGCTTGAGCTTGTCCACGAGCGGCCGATTGGTCTTGGCGATGGAGCCCACGTGATTGCGCAGTATGTCCAGGTAGATGGGCCAGTCCTCGGCGCAAGCCTGACAGTCGCAGTCGAAGAAGTACGACTCGGCCATCTTCCGTCGGCGCTCCGAGCGCCCCATGTACTGATAGCCGCCTCCGTAACAGGTGAATATCTGGTCGCCCGGCTTGATGGGCTCGAGGGCTCGCGTGACCATCTGCAGGCCGAAGTAGTGGCGAAACGTGTTCGGGCAGCACGAGTGATTGAGCAGGCTGGCCGTGACGTAGAGGCCCGAGCCGACCTTCACTCCTGGCTCTTGTTGTACCTGTTGTCGTTTTTTTTTTTTGGTGCACGGTAAGTATGCGTATAACGAGTAATTATTTGACTCTTTCAGATACGTTCAGCGCGACTCACCGAGAACGAATTGGACGATATGATGACGCAGCTGCGAAAGACGATGGCGGCACAGAATACCATATCGTCGTCCTTCTCGGCGAGATCCCTCAGCTGCTCGGCCGTGTGCGTCGTGTCCTGGAAGAATTTCGTCCTCAGGGCCAGAAGGATCACGGCCAGCGCCGATATGCAGGAGAAGGCGCTTATCTCGATCGGCGGCCTGACCGGCAGATTGGTCGCGAGGCTCAGAGCGCACCTCGCGCTCGCGCTGTCGAAGATACCCGCGTCCGTGAATCCTTGCTTTCTTTTGTCTGCGAAATAATAAATGGAATTCGAAACGACAAAGTGTGATGTTTTTATTCGAAATCATACCCATACCAGGATTTTTCTCAGCTTCGAGGCAGTCCTTGCGAAGCTCGTCGATAGCTCGGCCGCTCTTGGTGGCGATTATCAGCATCCTCGTGATTTTGGTAAGTATCCTGATTTTGTCCTTGTCGACGTTGAGCAGCTTCGAGAAGACTGCGTGTATGGGACACTCGAGCTGGTGGGCCAGCTGCCAGGCGTCGCGCATGCACTTCTCCGAGCAGTACTGGGCTATCGGACAGTGCGGACAGGAGATGAGATTGAAGCTGCGCGTCAGGCAGTGATGACAGTGGGTGTAGTATCTGCGCTCGTAAACGATGCTCGGGTAAGTTGATTCATTTCGTTATTATTATTTATTTTTAGGATTTCGCAGCTCTTTCATCGATCGACTCACTTCTCACGGTAAATAACGTAGGCGTAGGGATTCTCCGTGAGGATGATGTCGCCGGCCTTGAAGTGCTGCGTGGCCACCAGGTGCCTGCCGTACTTCTCCGTGTAGACGATCGTGGCGCCCTTGCTGAGCGCCGGCACCTCGTCGTTCGCGCCGTAGGCCAGGGCCAGCTCGCCTTCCTCGACGACGTATCTCGGCGGGCCTCGCGAGCTCTTGCTCATCATCTCCTCCAGGCTCTCCTTCACCAGGCCGTCGTCGCTGCTGCTGCTGCTGACCGACCTCTGCGACGACTTGTCGCTGCTCTTGCCATCCTCGATGATGTTCTTGATCAGGGCGTAATCCTTGAGCTCGCTGCCGTTGCCGCCGGTACCGTTGCTGGTGGTTTTGCTCGAGTCTTGTGGCTGAGGAGGAGCCCTCGGCACGCTGGCCGCCGGCAAGTCGTTCATGTTCTGATCCTTGCCGCTGCAGAGCTGTCGGAGCGACGCGACCGCCTTGACCGCGCGCTCCTTGAGCTTGATCCTCTTGTCCTCGGGATAGCCGTGGCCGAGCGCGGCGTCGATGTCGATCAGGCACTCGCGATAGAGCTGCTTGCGATAGAGAGCCGCCGATCGGTTGGCGAACGCCAGGCCCATCGACTCGCGGCTCTTGGCGAACGCCAGGCTCATCGTGTACTTCTCGATCGCGTCGTCGTCGTCGCCCGACACGAAGCTTTGATTACCTGGAGGTGAGCAATTATATGTTCGAATATCTTTTATCTTTCAGGAGATGTCAAAGCCAGCGCAATGAGATATTTTTTCAAAAATGTCGTTGCATTGGCTTTGCTATTCGTCAAAGTGTTTTTTCGATTTACGGTGTAAAGCGCGAAATAATACAATAAATCATTTAATTTACCGTTGTATTTTTATTTAAAAAAAGTACCTCATTACCCTACATTTTATGATCCTAATATATCAATGATTTTTATTTACAACTTAACAAAATTGAAACATTAAATTCTGGGTATGAATAAATTTAAAAACATGTATTCAAAAAAAAGAAACAATTTTGAACGACCATTTCAATCATCGTTCGATACTGTGTAATAAATATCCGAAAATGCGATCTCTCATTCGCGATCGCTCGGTAATGTATTTCATGCCCTTTTAAATGCGATGAAAGATATTTTAATGTTATAATAGTTTAAAATAAGCTCGCAGCTCTTGAAGCTACAGAAATCGTGTGATTCATGCAGCTTTTGCATATTATTTTTACTCGTGCTTTTGCACTTTCATCATCATGTAAGTAAATGCACAGAACATTTTCGTACGTCACTGCAATTAATGTCGAAAAACTGATATTTCTCAAAATGCTGGAGATGGAGAGATGTGATATAAATTATGCCCGTCGAAAGTTATTTTATTAAACTTTTTTCTCAGTACTTTTGCGTAATTTTACGTATGTGTTTCGATTTGTTTTTTTATTCAAATACAACTTAATATTATGCAATAAATACATTTAAAAAATGAAGAATATGTTATTTCTTTCAATAAAAAGTATAATTAATCTTAAAATTGTATTCTCACCTTCTTCCCGAAACTTTGCCGAATCTTTGTCATTTTTCACTTCGGCTACTAAGGGTGGCATATTTGATTTGATCATATTTTTCAATACGTAGCCTACCAAAGCTTCGCATTCCTTTTGCATCCCATATCCTTTTGTATTGTTTTTTTTCACTGCCAATATTTTTTCCTTGGCGATATCCATTTTCCGTCGTTGTTTTTAACTCTGTCAACTATTAAAAGGTAATTATGTGATAAACGCCGAACAGCACTGTCAACACTTTTACAATCACTTCATTTTTTTTTCTTTTTTTACTTTAAATCTTTTTATTCGCAAAAATAGAATATCTAAAAATGATTATTTAAAAATTCAAACAATCAAATATAAACTACTCAATCAAAAATGTTCACAACAGCCGTACGAGCGATCGTAATAAACTTAACGAGCATCGAAACGAACTGATTGATCGAGGCACGATCGGCCGCCGAAGCTAAAAACCGGTGCAATGCCCACGCAGAATTTACTGCCGTATAAGTTGATGCTCTAACAAGTTCCTAAAAAGCCTATGCGGGTTAGCGGCGATTGTATACTAAATTAGCTGAGGCCTATTGATGCACTGAGAAGAACTAAAAGCCACGAGGTGAGACTAAAATTACCTCGTACATACGTATATGCAAGAAGAGAGACTCGAGAGAAAGAGAGAGTAAGAGAGAGCAAAAGGGTGCCTCGCATCCTATGTATGCAGCTCGTGCATACATTGTACCAGTGCACTACTAGTACAACCTTTTGCCGGCGTCGACTGCAACGTAACATACGGCCATCGGTTCGCAACGTTTCAAAGATGTAATATCATGTTAGGCCTCTCCGAATCGTAATATTGAAAATGAACGGGTCGATCAGTCGGTGATTGCTGCAAAATTTTAATTATCCTATTTTTACCTGTTGAACCACTGGGAAGAAATTAAAAAAAGTCGCTCTTAAATAATTACACATTTCTTTTATTATAAACGTGATTTTAAAAATTTCAAAAGTACATTACTTTACTTATATACAAAATTAGTTTTATGACGGTGATGCATAAAAATTAATGTGAATAATATTGTATGAAAAATACAGTTCGTTTCCAGTTTTAAAATTATAATAGCGGTGATGTTGACGGTATACTTGCATGCTCGGTTAAAAATATCTTTAGGTACATGATTAGTTCACGATTATGTACACATTCTCACAGGCAATTTTTTTGCATCTCAATCCACAGTTTATATTTTCGATCTTGTTTCATTGATTAAAACATGTAATAGACTGCATTTCTATTCACGGGTCAGATGATTGGGAAAAATTAATCTTTTGCACAGCCATAACAGCTCTTGACATTATCTGACGAGACATTAATTTTTAAAAGTTAAACAAAAAGTCGTTTTCATGTAAAATATTTGGTATGAGTTAGCAAAGAACACAGGGGTTGCTTGAACTTATTTTAGAAAGTCATTCTTTTAAAAACCTTTCAATGATTCTTTTCAATTTCTCAAGAATTTTTTTTCCTGCAAATAACAGAAATACTTTGAAACTTGAGAAATAATTAATTATCATATTTAAAAGTGTAAAATGAAAAGAATTTTTGTAAATTTAAGCGCCCTCTGTTTCCTTTAATATTATGAGTATGTTTTAATGAAATAATGGTTCATTGAAAAAATTGTCAAAATTCCAAAAACGTAGAAATCCATCAACATCAGTTTATTAGTATCAAACAATCATCTGTTATCCGAAATGTCGCGTTTAAAATATCCCTGCAGTTTGAAGTACAACTCATGTAAGCATTGATTCTTGCAAGGAAAAATCATTAGAATTAAATAAATTCAATTACATCCAATTATGCAGCCCATAAATTTTTGTTTCAATTCCTGTCACGCACTTTACAGCTTAAAATAGTGTAAGTTTAATAACTGCATTCTTTTAAAATATACAATTATTTCTTTGGGTTATAAATATATAGATTTTTTTTTAACTGTTTTCACCCTGACCACATCATTCATTTATGTAAAAAGTCACTAATATTCATACTCTGTATAGTCTTTTCAAGTTTCAGTTCATTACTATTATTTTACATTGCTAATATTTTCAATGTATCTTAAAACTATTTTCACAAGAAGCCCTCTTATGGAAAAAAGAAACAATTATGTACAAATTTCATTTTTTTTTCAATTCATTCAAACTAGGGTCTAAAATTCATTATACTTATACATAAATAATTCTTTGCTAGAAATGGTGCACTTCATATTTTACACAATGAAATTATTATGTATTCAAAGAACATATTTTTATCAGAGTATTTTTGAACCATAGCTGTTAATATTTGCTAGTGATGAAATTTAAAATTTTAATTCGTTATATAATCGATTTGAAAATTTCATTACATAGATTTCACGTGAACTGATCATTCACGTTATTATCGAGGCACTTGTTGAGTGCACAATTTGAGTATTTTATCTATATGCTAAAAGTAGTTATTATCAATTAAATACTGTAAAAAATTTTATTTTTTGACAACTAGTCACAGTATTTTAAAAAGTAGAAGAATATTTATCAGGTAAGTTTGGATTTATGTGCTGGAAAATTGATACTATTTTCTATAATTCTACCAAATAACTATTGTATTATTAGTAGTGCTTCTAAAAGATTCAAATTATTTTTCATAGTAGTATAAAAACTTGAATATCGTTTGCGTTTAAAAAAATTAGTTCCATAAGGTTTTCATCATTGTGTAAATATATTGATGTCAGATAAGTATTTATCATTGCCTATCTAGATGAGATGCAGCTTACCTACTTGATGAAAATAAATTAATTGTACTACCTGGATTGCGTTTCCTTACGAGACGTGCTGCTACTAAAAATTAATAAACAATTAATTAGTTAATATAACATTTCAATGTAGTTGTTTTGAATACTTACTACTGGCATCTTGTGGAGTTAAAGGTCTGTCTATTACTTTTTGTAAAACTTGCATCCATTGGATTCTATCTTCATTAGCTTGAGCAGATAAAAGGTAAGTTCTGTCAGGCGTTTGGAGTGTAAAAGAATAACCTTGATCCCGAGCACCTGGTGGAACACCCATTTTTATAGCATAGCCTTCAGATGTATGACCTAAAAATATTTCTCCTTTTGGATTGGCATCCTGAATAAATGAAAATAAAATTTCAAGATAAATATTAGAGGTATAAAAAACACTAATATGATTATCAATAAATTTAATAATTTAACCATAGGATCTTCATGGTACATCAACTTTCGTCCATCTAACGTGAACCATCTCTTCTTATAAGTATCACTGGGTCTAGGTCCAGTTTTCCACAGAAATCCTTCTTTAGGAAAATCTTTTGTCAATTGACTCAGTAAATCCTGTTCATTAGCACCTGGATATGCAACTTGGAGCCTGTGCAATTTTGCACAACGAATTGCCAAGTACCAATTTGTTATCACTTCAGATTCATCGTGGTAAACATAAATGTGTCTTGTAGTACCATCTTTCAAAAATGAAATTTGCAGACTATTTTGATTTCCAGTTTTAGCAGGAGCAAATGACACATTCAGCTCTGATATTCGCAATACTGCTTTTGGTTCCTTATAAAATAAATTGTAAAAACTGAATTAATATAATTTAAAGTATAATTATAAGTATATAGATATTGGTAAAATTGGATACTGACTTTATTCTCCTTAACATAATACTTCAAAGTATCATCAGCTTCATTGAGTACAAATTTACGTGGTTGATATTTGGGATCCTCTTTTCCTCGTTTCATAAGAAAACCCTCCATGAATCCTGAAACATAATGACTTTGTCTTTCTGGATGACAAAACTCTTCCCTCTCATATTTTGCTCGAATCCACTGTTCAATTAGTACACTGAAAATTTCATACAAATTTATATTTTCTGAGAATAATGTATTTCATAATTATTTATTTATCTTACTCTGGAGAATCTTGATTAGGTTTCCTGTAACATGATGGTACCCTTTCTTCAAAATGTAATTTAGATGCTACATTTCCAACCTCTCGTACTCTGCTAACTTGAGAGTCTTCCCACTTATCAAGTGTAATATGTTTTACTTTTGAAATATGAGTTCCCATAGAACGATGTACTCCAGCACATTTTGTACATATAAAAATTCCTATATTGTAAGATGCCCATTCTGGATCTGTTGAAAGTATTGAACATGATAATCCAATTAAATACATATTACATGTTCTAAAAAAGTAACTACTGCTACATAATGCTTAAAATGATTATGACAACTAATTGAAAAAACAAACATCAACTTAATTATTACAATCAAATTAAAAAATTATGGGTGTAGTTTCAGAAAAGTATTACAATCGTATGAATCATCGAAAAATTTGAATACTAACTGTAACTGTGCGAGCTACAAATAAACAAAGTACGGCTTGTTGATCAATAATAATGACGTACACGAAAAGAAGAAAGCTAGTTAATAAATCGTATCGTAGTTAATAGTTCTGAAGCGAACCCAAATGCATGAGCAATTTTAAATGAATCATGTCGCAAGTAGATATCGAGCCGAAAGAAAAACAATGAAGTCACGCGCAGCTGATCGCTTCTTCTCGTAGGCGAGAAAACTCCGAGTTGGAATGTCGGATGGTTTTGAAAGAAAAACTAATGATAGCTGAATGATAAATCTTACTTTTGGCTCCGCAATCGGCACAAATGTTATTTCCAGGTTTTTTTAAAAGGTCGGCTATTAACTTTTCGTTGGGGTCCGCCATCTTGCAGGCACACGCTAGCAATGTCAACTGTCAAGACTGTATAGTGTATCAATGTATACATGCTAGGGTATATAATATATATATACATAAAACTCGCCGCTCGCTCTGTTGTGCCGCCGAGCATTGTGTGTCTCTTTAATGATAATAACTTAAGTAAAGGGCTGCCAACTGGAGACAAATATAATTAATTCAAATTAAAAATTGTTATAAAGATGGGAAAGACACGGAAAAATATTGGATATAAGATAATTATTACATTCATGGATGTTGTGAAAACATAAAAATCATGTTTATACTACAAATTCATAAAAATTAATGGAAAATGAATAAATTATTCACAAAAAATTTATTAAAAAGTAATAAACATTTTTATTCGTTATTAACAACTGTAGTATATCTATGTATGTACACAATATTTTACAAGTGAGACTCCATTTTTAAGCAATTAAATAATCAATTTAATTAATTAATGGTTTCCCTTATGACTCCTTTCATAATTTTGTCTTGCAAGTTCTGGGAAGTACTGAGAATTGTACTTCTGTTTAAAGGTAGGTCTTGCACTTTCTTTTTCCGTTTCTTTTTCTGCAATTAAAGCCTGTGCTCTCAGTCTTTCAGCTTTTTCACGTTCTAATCTCTCTGCTCTTAACTTTTCTATATTTAAACTTGATTTCACTTCTTTTTCCTCTTTATTTTTCTTGTGCTTTTTTGATTTTTTGTGTTTGTGTTTTTTATTCTTTTTATGTTTTTTGTGTTTTTTGTCACTGTAATCACTATCTTCACTGGAAGAACTGTGTTTGCGTTTTCTTTTATTTGATATACTTTTTTCGATTTCATCACTTGGCTTAATGGATATGATATTCATATACCTTTTCACATCGTTATCAAGTACTTGAGGCAATGGTTTAGTTTCTTTTGGAATTGGTACAGTTATTTGCTGTGGTATTTCAGTTATTTTTCGCGATGGTTCAGGTTTAACACCCTTTTTTAATGAAAGAATTCTTTTGTACCTCATTATGTCCGACAGAGGATCTTCAAGAGCTTTTTTGTTTGGCTTAAATTCTATATTTGCATCCTCATCACATAGTCGCTGTGGAAGTTCATTGTACCATCGTTTAGTTTCAGAATCTTTACAATTTTGGCCAAGATATGTAAGTAATCCAATTTGCTTTTCATACTTTTCTTGTTCTTCTTTTACATCTTTTTCATAATCTTTATTTGCTTTCTTGTGATCAATATTACCTTGCTCCAATTCTTCAAAGAAATTTATATGCTTCGAAGAAGATTCAGGAATATTTTTTATAGGTTCAGCCTTGGTTTCACTGTGAATGCTAGCATCTTCAAAACCGCTTTGAATTCTTGATGCATCTCTCAGTAGTTTTAGTCTTGCTTCACTTTCCTGTAACAATAACATGCATTAGCATTGTAATTCATTTTTTCCTGAATGATATTAATTTATAAAAGTATACCAACAGCTTTTTTGATACGATCTTGTTCTACTTTAGCTTGTTCAGCTGCTAGCGCTTCATCTTTGCGGACTCTTGCAATGTTTTCTTTGGTACGAACATGCCACCTGTAAAAAGGATGAACATATTAGTATTATAACAGCAATTCTCAAAAATAGCCAAGAAAAACACTGGATAAACTACTAACCTTTTTTTTGGTAAAATATTCATTTTGTCAACCTATAATTTAGTATTCGGTTATTTTCTTTATACACTGCTCACCAGAGGCTGCAGCCTGAAATCTAATCACACCTATGCTATTGTAAGCTTGATTTTTCAATCGATAATGCAAATGATCCTATTGACGCTTTAGCAGTAAAGCCTCTTTTGTAAACTCAACACAACCATCCCGCACAACAACGTCTTGTCAAATGAAGTCTGCTCGAAACACGCGTCGTCTGCCTCCGCCAAGAAGTAATGTCGATTTCTATATTGCCGGTAAAGCTCGGCTGTACGGCGTAGGCATATCATTGACGAATCTTGTACTTACATACAGTAAGCTGAGAGCTTGACGCTTTTGCAGAGTATGGTGCTGTCAGATTATAATGTTACTGTGAAATATCTCGAAATATTGTTATTGATTTCTAGAAATGAATAGAGGACATTTAATGATTGGTCATGGTTTTGTTAAAGTTATCAAATATTCCCTGCCTGGCAGGTTCTTTAGTACCAAAAATAGTTTTGTCGGTGTTAATTTTAGGAGTGACTGTTGTTTTTGTTGCCAGCGATGGTGAACCTAACCTCGCAACATTAGCTGCTTCTCCGACAATTTCACAAATTAAAGATGACAATAAAATCGCAAATGACAGCAAAGTATCGCAAAATGTGGCAAATGCAACCACGAAAGATTCTTCTAGTCCGAGTACGGTGACACAATCGTCCAGCACAACAAAACTGTATGATCCAGTCTCAACATCTTCTACTGTCAGTAGTACAACTGTCAAAGACATTCTTACAACATCCACAAGTGGGCCTTTAAGTACATCGACCGAAATAATTAAAAAGAATATTAGTCAAATTAATTCATCAGTAACTGTAATTAGTAGTAATGTTACAAATAGCACTACGACAACTGTTGCCCCAGCACAGGCTGAGCCAGTGCTACCTGCCAAGGGTTCTGCTGAAGAGGAACACAATAGTTCTATGTCAATATTTTTTGTACTTTGTGTTCTGGCTTTAGGTATTTTACTAATACATTTAATGCTACAGACTAAATTTCAGTATTTGCCAGAATCAGTAGTAATTGTTTTTCTTGGAGGGGCGATTGGGGGTATTATAAGTATGATGTCTCATCAGAATATTGCCAACTGGAGAAAAGAAGAATCGTTTTCACCAACAGCTTTCTTTTTAGTATTATTACCACCAATCATCTTTGAATCAGGATATAATTTACACAAAGGAAATTTCTTTCAAAATATTGGAAGTATCATGGTTTTTGCAATATTTGGTACAGCCATCTCTGCTTTTGTAGTTGGAACTGGCATCTATTTGCTAGGACTAGCACAAGTTGTTTATAAGTTAAGTTTTGTTGAAAGCTTTGCTTTTGGATCACTAATATCAGCAGTAGATCCAGTGGCTACAGTAGCAATTTTTCATGCCCTTGATGTGGATCCTGTATTGAATATGTTGGTTTTTGGAGAATCAATTCTAAATGATGCTATTTCTATTGTGTTGACAACTTCAGTATTAAATGCTAAAACTGCTGCCACAACAGCAGAAGCTATTATTTTATGTTTAGATAGATTTTGTTTAATGTTTTTTGCTTCCGCTGGTATCGGAGTCGTTTTTGCACTAATGAGTGCATTGCTTTTGAAGCACGTTGATCTTAGAAAAAATCCGTCCTTGGAATTTGGATTAATGTTGGTGTTCACATATGCACCTTATGTCTTAGCTGAAGGAATACAATTATCTGGTAAATAAATATTTTTGGTAAATAATCTTTTTCATCGCTTATAACCAAAAGTTAAATATTGTTTATTTTCTAGGAATCATGGCGATATTATTTAATGGAATAGTAATGTCTCATTACACTCACTTCAACTTGTCAACAGTTACACAAATTACAATGCAACAAACTATGAGAACTATGGCTTTTATAGCAGAAACTTGTGTATTTGCTTATTTGGGTCTAGCACTTTTCAGTTTTAGGCACAGGGTATGGTATTAATAGAAAATTATTTTTGAAATATTAAATATCAAATATTTATATTAAAATTTGATTTTGCAGGTTGAACCAGCTCTAGTCACATGGTCTTTAATATTGTGCCTTCTTGGAAGAGCAGCCAATATTTTTCCTCTTGCTTTACTTGTTAATAGATTTAGGGAGCATCAAATAACAAAAAAAATGATGTTTATTATGTGGTTTAGTGGATTACGTGGTGCAATTTCTTATGCATTATCTCTTCATTTAGATTTTAGTGATGAAACACGTCACGTAATTATAACAACAACTCTTATCATTGTTCTATTTACTACACTGATTTTTGGAGGCTCAACCATGCCTTTGTTAAAACTTATGCGTGCTGAAAAAAAAGAAAAAAGTAGTAGGCATAAAAGAAGAGAAAAAGGAATTTCATTAAGTAAAACAAGAGAGTTGGTTAGTATTAGTCAATAATGAATTTATTTTTATTTTGAAAACTTTGTTTCTGAAACTTATATTTCATATTTTTAGGGTCAAGCTATTGATTCAGAGCATCTTGAATTGGCAGAGGATGAAATAGATGTTTCATTTTTACAATCTCGAATCAGAGGATTTGCTCGTTGGGATCTAAAATTTTTCATTCCATTCTTCACTCGAAGATTCACACAACAAGAACTGAAAGATTGTAAATCACAAATGACAGATTTGACAAATCAATGGTATCAAGCTGTTCGAATTAGTCCAGTAGAGGAATCAGATGATGATACTGCTACAGTATCTTCAATGAATATTCAGAATAGTGATATTTTCACTGAAATTAGAAATGAAAGTGAACATGACAAGACCACCGATCATCCTAAACATAGTTCCATTTTGAGTATTTAGTACTTAAAACAAAAAAGTTAACTTTAACATGAGTGTCAAAATTACAAAAAACTTATTCCTAAAAAAAATTGAATTTGAAAAATCGTTTAATAATTAAATTAAATAAAGAATTTAAAGAAATAAGTTTTTTAGAATTTATGAATTTCTCACAAACTTAAAATTGCACATATAGTTCTTTCTGTGATGTTTTCTTAAAGTCATTATTAGAAAAATTTCAAAGCTGTTATAAAATTTCAAATATTTTAGTCAGAAGAATGTTATTCTTAATGTAAAAATTATTGATTAGTGCGTATTTTATTCAAAAGATTGCTTCTATATTTCAAGTAACCAGACTTTATTGTTCACTACCACAAATTTTTAATTTTACAGACTCTACCAAAAACATTCTGCATATTTATATTGTACATGAAATGTGTATATAAATAACCAATCTTATTCATTTGTGATTTTTTTCTCCAATCTGATTGTATATTATTGTAAAGCTTTGTATCTTGAAGAATTGCAATAAAAATAAAATTGTCTTTGAAACTTTTTACTACAGATAGTTTATTCGAAATTCGTTCGAAATTACTGACAAATTCAAATTTTTAAGTGCGACCGTATATCGAGTCTTTCGGTTCGAAGCGTAGCGACAGTGCCAACATTTGCATTTGAGAATCCCGCCTTTTACACAGTGCTGTTTGGTCGCTGTAATAGTAAATAGATCGGGCTATTATTTATCATCAATTTTTTCAAATCGTTCTGTGTCGTGTTTTGTTCTTTATTTACTTGTGTTTAAAAGTTCAGTGTAGTGTTGTTTTTACGGAATATATTCGCAACGGTTGAAATAACAAACTCGAAAATGACTTTCGCTTCGAAAACTTTCAAAAAAACTCCCATTTACATAGTAGAGCCGCATAACGAGGTAACCAATTTTTCTGATTTCTTTTCCAATAATTAGTTATCATTGCAAATGGTAAACATCAAAAAAAGGTTAATACAACGTAAACTAAATTGCAAAAAATGTATCACTTGGATTTAGTAGATAGTTAATTCGCCACATAACCTTTAAAATTTGAAAATCATGATAAAATCAAGCTTTAACGATGTTTATCAAAAATTATTCGGACACATTGTAATGAACTGGTGAGGTTGTTGACTTTGAGCTCTGACATGTTCTCGAGTAACAGCTGAAAAGTGTGTATTGCTCGAGCAGAATGTCAGTGCAGCTGGTAAACAATGCACGTGACAGTGTTAGTATACAATATATTTACACATACAAGTCTTTGATCTTTCGAGTTGCGCAGATGAAAACCGCATGATTGTTTTCAGTTTCTTTTAAAAATGTTCTACTTATTTACAATTGAATGAGTTTCAAAATATCTTTCATCGAATGTTAAACATCAGTCGTTCGATGATGTATACAATTAATGAGACATTTTTTTATTTTAGTTAAAATACTCATTTGAAAAGAAATAGCAAGCACGGATTGCGTGCAAAAGTCAGAGCAAATGTTTCCGTTTCAATAAATACACAATCTATGTACTGCACTCTAATTCAAGCACTTTCCGATTCCCGCGAGGAAAACTTTTTGCATTTGAAACCCTCCTACATACCACAAATATATTTTCATTTGTTTCTTCATCGCGGAAAAATGACCAATACGTTTGATTTAATTTATCTATAAATATTATTCAAATATCTCACTATCACATAAATAACGAAATATTGCAATAAAACGTGGAATGTGGATAGATAAAGAGAGCAAAAGTCATTGTTAAAAATTTATTGTATTTGAAATAAAAGTGTGAGCGATATACGTTAATAAGCGAACATCGTGAAATTTTAATTTCGCCAAAAACAGTGTGTCGAGCAATATTGAGTTGATTGTTCCGATCCGATCCATCCTTTGATTTTTATAGCTGCCTCACTGTACACACAACTGCCAATTTAGTGCAATATCGTGCATTAAGAATAATAATAATTAAGGTGTTGACATTTTTGCCCGACTCGTCAAGCTCGATTCCTCTCGAGTTGTTCGAACCTATGCAACACGTACGGTGGACTCGAATGATAATTCGATTTCTTTACTGTACCGCGGGTACGTATTTCAAAATTTGAGCATTACCGGTAGTGAACACATTAGGTTGACTTCGATTCTATCCGGTGGAACGCTAAAATCTCCAATGCTTTTACATGTTCCACCACACGATTAGACTAGACAAAATCGAAGTCAAATTAGTGCACTTTTTTGTATTAAATGAGGCAAGCATATGATAATTTGAGTATACCAGAAGAACCGATAAACCAGGAAATAAAAAGTGAAGAAGATGCAGAACCTTTGAGCAAAATGGCAAAAATGTAGCATAGGGAACACTTGAATAAATAGCAGATGGACAAGTATAATATGGATTTGTAGGTGAACTGTTAAGCTCTGAACCTATAAGAGCCTTGAAATTCACGAATTCATTTTTAAGTGCGTTTGATTTTAAAATATCAAAATTTAATACACGTGAGAACGACTGACGACTCGTTCACAATCTATTATGAAATGATCGATCCGACAACGATTTCACGGCTAAAGTGATAACATTCTACAGACATGGTACAATTCAAAACAAAAACATTCAGAGAAATTGATTTATTTCACGCAAATAATTTTATTGTGGAACACTAATTATTGAAAAATCCATCGTGAGAAAGATAAGAAGTGATGAAATAAGAGATCAATATAGATTATTAATATTTTACATTATTGATTCATATGAAATTTTGGATGTTCCAAGGTCTCCAAAAAATTTCACATTGAACTAATATAATAGCGGTAAGTAAATGTTTAAATAATTTTTTCATCTTTATTATATAATAAATCGAAATAGAAAAAAAATAACTATCTCTCTAAACTGTGCGATGCCCACAAAATATTGGGCGTTTGCTCACCTCAAATCATCGAGGAACAGGTTGCATTTAGGCTATGCAATTACGCAACTGATCTGTAGAGCTCCGACGCTCAAATTTTCAGAAAAAAATCTTGATAAAAATCAATTTGCATTTAAGGTCCTAAAATTTATCATTGCAGATAAAAGACAATTAAAAGATTATATTTTAATTGCGGTTATCTAATCGAAGAAAATTATCAGAATAAAGACTCAAGTCCATTGTGTTATTCGTGTGTAAATGCAGCTCAGTCATCAAATTATTACAGAATTGGTGGCCACAAGCGCAGACATGGACAGCCAAACAGGGAAGATCACAAGCTGGAGGCAGCGGTATGCGACCGTTGAACCTCTCGCTATTGCCATGACATTTGCTTTCACTTTAGAAGGTTCGTTAGTTAGTATAATTTTTAACGAGTTCTTTTATAAGAAGACAACTTGATTTTGTTAGTTCAATTTACAAATACCATGAACAAATTCATTTTATTTCAAGGTTAATAAATCACTTTCTAAAACATTACTTAATGTTTATCGGTGTTAGGTAATCAAAGAAAATAATTTTAAAGAATTATTTTAGTCAACTTATAAATGTTTTATGTTGCTTAAAAAAGTTATCATTAAATCGCGGCATGTCTTTTAATTTCAATCTTTTTTTGTTTTATAAAATTTTTCCGTAGTTAGTTCTCGATTATAAAAACTTTGGAGCTAAACTGATCTCCAGAGTTCAAGTGGTCTTCTTGTTACTTTATTGAAAAAAATGATTTATTTTTACTTTCATCTTCTTAAGCTACCGTCAGTCAGGATATGTTTATCTTTCAAACCTGCAAAACTAGATTGAACTTGACAAATTGCGATATTATTCATGACAACAGTTCAAGTAATGAAGCCAAAAATATACAAAGAGAGGCGCAAAAGATCACCAGTTTGATTTTAGTAATTAAGTCGTGCATAGAGACCATCTTTCCGTCTTTGTTCACGTTATTTTTTGGATCGTGGAGTGATAAGAATGGAAGAAAACCGCTGTTTTTCCTGTCGTACTTAGGTAATTCAAAAACGATTTCATTTAGTCACACGATATTAAAAATATTATATTTCCAGGTTACTGCTTAAGTTTTGCGATCAGTGGAACCATGAGTCTTTTTAATCTCGATCCATATTGGCTTTTGCTTGCCTCCGTACCGCGTGCTCTGACGGGTGGTTCGGGCATTTTGTTCGTGGCATTGTTTTGTTATAAATCTGACACAACGACAAAAGAAAATAGAGGTACTGGTATAGCTTGGGTGGAAGCTGCCGTATTCGTTGGAATTTTGATTGGAAATTTTACGGGGCCTTACATATTTAAATGGGCTGATTATAAAGCAGTTTATTTCACGTCACTTGGATTTGGAGTTGCTGGTTTAATATACATTATATTTTTTGTGCAAGAATCAGTGCAACGCGAAGGAAAGGTTTGATTATTTTTGCACATCTTCAACACCTTATGTTTTATTTTTAATTGTCTATTCACACACAGAGAGAATATAGTTCAATATTGAATTGGACTTTGATGAAAGATTTGTATCTTGCGGTAACAAAGAAGAGAGATGGATTTTATCGAAATTATACGTGGCTGATTCTCGCTACAGCTTTTATAAATAATGTAAGCATGGAAGCTAACAAAGCTCCCAGTTTTTTGTTCGAGACAAGAGTATTAGGTTGGAATGTACAAAATCATTCCGTTTATAATGGATTTAATATTGTAATTTTTGTGGTTGGCATGATGTTGCTAATCAAAGTAGGTGGTAATGTATTAGGTAATATAATGGATTTTTCAAACGATTTTCTTAGTTATAGTACAATCAAATTTTCTGACAAAATTTATTGTATGTTGCTCTAGGATTTTCCGAATTTTTAATTTTAACTCTATCGTGTATGTGCAATAGTGCGGATTCTATGGTTAAAGCATTCACAAATAAGTCTTGGCAAATGTACTTATCAAGTGTGATAGGATTTTTCCACGTAGCGTCTACTCCAACAATTTTATCTTTAGCGACAAAAGGAATTCCGGAAAATGATTCAGGTCAGGAACCATTATTTTATACATTCGCAGGTTGATTTTTCAAATGAAAAACTAATCAATGTTTATGTTCTGCAGGCAAAGTAGTGACTCTTATACAAGTTTCTAAAGCTATTCTGCCTTCTGCTGTAAGCTCAATTTGGATGCCAATTTGGAGATCTACCATGGATATGTATCCGCACCCTGTTTGGCTGTTATCATCAACAATACCATTTTTCACACTTACTCTTACGTATTTCGTTAGAAAAAAGTGGTTCAAATTAGAAGGCATAAAAAGGGACACGCCTTGAACATTAACTTTTGTAACAAATTTATGTTATATATTTTGTAATATTTATTGTAAAATAATATGTGTTATAGACCTACTAAAAATTATATCTTCTTTTCTTTCAATCAACCAAATTGAAAACATTTTGCAACAGGTTTTGTAGCCTTTTGAAGTATTAAAAAAATATTGCGAATAAAATTCTCCTGAAAGTGTGATTATTCTTATTTTTATGAATGAATGTTGAAACTATATCATAAAAGAAATGTTTAATAGTTTTCATGAGTCATTACTCTTACAAATGTTGACTCATACGTTCATTTTTTTGTATACAATCAATTATTATATTCTATTATTAGATAAAATAAAAGATTAACATTACTCAAGTTTGAAAAATTATTTGAATATTCAAAACAGGTACTTCCATTTATTTACCGATGCATTGGATCAAAACATCTGCCATTTCAAGGAAATACCTTCATTCATTTGGATTCTCATCCAGACATGCTGGTTCCTAAAGATATGGTGGCAGACATGGTCTGGGATAAAAATGATTTATTCGAGTAAATATTTTACATTTTTTAAAGAATTTTTTATCTATACCAATCATATGATTAATCAAAAATTGATATTCCATAATTCAGAGAAATAAGCATTGAAAATTGGATGTTACCTGCTGCTTATGCTGGGCTCTTGAAAAACATCGTTTGGGTTAAACCACCGTGGGCCAATCAAATGGTGGACGGAGTTCGAACCTTCCTCATCGGAAAACATAAAGAGAGCGAAACAATAAGGTAAGTTATCATTTTCCTCAATCATAATAATTGTATTTAATCAATTAAGTTGCGATATAATATTACAATATAAATTAATAAAATATTTATTTAAATTTTTTATCTTGTTAACATTTTTTATAAATTCATGAAAAAATGTAAGACCTGCCAAAGTCAAGATAAAAACGATTATTTTAATTGCGCCGGTCTGAATATTTTCTTAATAATTCGTGGATAAAATTGTATGGCGATTCCCTTGCTTAAATACGGTGCTCGCAAAGTCATCATCTTTCCGCGCAGTTTATCAACAAAAGAGAAAATTTGTAGCGCAGGGTCAAATGTTCCGCAGGTATTTACGAGCAGCCCAAAGGGCTCATTCGCTAACTACTGCACTCAGATATTCTCGGCACTTTGAAACTCGCGCGAGAAGTATAGAAAAAAGAATGAAAAAAAAGAAAAGAAAAGAAAGAGAAAAGGACGGAAAAGCATTATAGAAGTCTGGCGCGCGCAGGAAACAAGCGAAACAAGTGCTGTAATGATCCTTTTGCTGCATGTAAAGAGTGGTACAGCGAAGAAGGAAGGGCGACGCGCAGCCTCCTCCATGTTTGCCAACAGCTTGCAGACTTGAATGCGCATGAGTTTTTTAAGGCTCCTTACGCTCGGTTGAAAAGCTCAAGATCGCTTTTGAAGTGCTCGCGATGCGAAGGAGAGAGAGCTGTAAACGTAGCCATGTTGGTGCTCTATACGCCTGTATAGACTTATATATTTTCTATGTATACTCGTACGAGTGCGGCCGGGTCGCTCGTTGGCTACGTCGAATCGTGCGTAGAGCCGCCTACATCGAGACATTGCCATGACGACGGTATTTATAATGACGAGGCTGATTTTAAACGCCCATGTGAATTCTCGAAATTAATGTTCGTTGCCCACGAATTCGTAATTATTGCATTTAATCAGAGAGCTTGCATGTGTTGCGTGCACAGCTACATTTTTCCTTTTTACCTCGTTAATTTTTTGCACGCGCCAACGATTTTCACGATCCGCGCGCAGAGCTTGCGATTTTAAGCTGCCGCATTTGCCACGATCGTGTGTGGTATTAGTCACAATTCACATCTGTCAATGAATTAGCAATTATAAATTTAATAATTTATTTCGAAATAATTACGCATATCGAGATCAGTACTTACGAGCCTTAATTTGCCCCGCATACAATGAAGTAGATGTATAAAATATTATAAATTTACACACGAGTTAGATCGGTAAAAGCATTGCGCGAGCTAGTACACGTTATACTCCATATCTTTGATTCTTTTTCAAGTACACCTTGGCTGCTGTGCGCTGTGTATAGTACGTTATAATCTTGCCAGGCATCAGAATTGACGGGTGCTTATTATCATTCATGCCGTCTCGCGATCGTGCAGCGACGGCGGCGGCGGCGGCTGCGCGCGAGTTTATATTGGTAGCAGCAGCAGCCGGTCATAATATCTGCAGAAAACCGGTTGCTGGCGGAATTGATTTTTGTTCATAGATCATCTGGTTTCGGCCCCCGTGTACACATACGTACTCGCGTAATGTAGGCTAAGGAGTATAAGTATATATACAGCCGAGCGGCCGGCCGGCGGGCCGAGTGCTGCGTGACAGTAGCGATAGCCTGCGGTTATGCTCGCATACATATAATACGCATATTATATAGGCGTACGGGGGCCCGAGCGTTTATATATAAATCATGCCTTTGTGGCTTGTTCCCTCCGATCGTTCAATTAAAATGTAAATCGAGCGCATATCTCGACCCGATACACCTAGTCGTATTATCGCTTTTCGAGCCGTGCGCTGCTGCGCGCTACTGCGCCAACGACTGCAGTTGATCGGTATAGGACGTCGTAGCGTGTATGTGCTCCTGCGCGCCGCAGTCGACTGCTTTCATTTTTTCTGGATATATTGTAAAAATTACGCGTCTTCGATGATTTGCTGAAGGCGCTGAAGATGGCGTTGAGATGCACAAAGAAAAGAATTGATTGGAGTTAGTGAATCAGATCATATAGAAATCATTCTCTAAGCTAATGATAAAAATGTTCACGATTAATAATGGTATAATGATCAAAAAGTGATTATTTACTATGTTTGGTTTACTACTGGCAATTTTTCCATTGAAAATATGTTGCAGTTACTGAGCAGATGTCGCAACCACATTAAATGCAATATTGCCACTTTGAGTCTCCACCACTAGGTGGCGAGTACCTGTATATCCATAAATATGCAAGCGGTCAAGTAAACATAATCGTATAAGTCAAGCTTTCACTGTGCCTCCAGCTACTTTGCTCATTTCTAATGAAAGCTTATTGGCCACTTTTTTGTCCTATACACAAATGGTCATTTTCTTGCCTTTTTCATTATCCAATGCAAATTTATACTGTTTGTATCCCTTTGATGTACCAACAATTGAAGTGGTATAGATCTGGGTAATGGCGCCGACTACTTATCTATAGAAAGATATTTATATTTATGTAATTGAAAAATGTTTAAGTAAATATATTTATTTTTCTTTTCTAATTTAAAATAAACTTACGCAGTACGGTTAAGGTCGACCAAATAATCAAAAGAATTATTGTTGGTTAAGTCAATTTTATTGTAAACTGAAAACACGAAAATAATAACATTATAACTAAATAATCGAACGATAATAAATACATTAATGGCTTAGTCTATTTAGTGAATACCGTATGTTATTTATATATTTATGCAAAAAGACGTGATCAAATACAAGTATCAAATACCCAACATTAACCTCTAAATATCTGCGTCTTCTATATAATAAATGTTGATAAATTGAAGCGGCCAGAAAGTGACTACTTTTCGGCCGCTGCGCAAAACGAGCAGAGCTATTTTCGGGGTTGTGTATACGAAAAATAGCATACAGGCCTATGCCGCGAAAAAGAAAGCCCCAGAGCACGTGTTTATCGGCCTCGGCTTCGCCTCGGCCACTAATTACACGTACTCTGGGACTTTTCTGTTTTTCGCGGCCTAGGGCAGTAATATACTATTTTTTTAATTAAGATAAAGAAGTGTGAAATAAAAATATTCAATACTAAATCATTTTTTTCACTGAAATGCAAAAAAGAAGGTACCAAAGAAAAGTGGGGGTTCTAAAGTTATACAATCAACAAGAAAATTTACTCGCTATAAAATTTTATTAATGCATTTTATTCAAACATCGAATGTAAAACTTTCAGTATCTCTTCTACGTACGGTTATGTAATATTTTAAAAACCTCGTAGGCAAAAAAGAGAGTCAGACAGTAAAAATTGCTTTGTAGACATTTCGTCAGTTTAGAAACGACACATAAAGATATGTATATATAGACGCATGATGGGCCACAGCAGCAGCAGCAACACCGTTGAGTGCACTACTCGCAACCAGAAGCATATAATAATGCTTTTGAGCAGGCCATTAAATAACGACACGAGGGTTTTGCAAACGAGAACAAAGAGCCACCAACGGTGGAGAGGGGAAAGAGAGAGAGAGAAACAACAATAGATGCAGCGGATGCAAGAGACACGTGGGTGGCGTAAACGCGCGCGCGCGAGAGTGCGGCTATATATAGAGAGAGAGAAAGAGAGAGAGAGAGAGAGAGAGAGAGAGAGGAGAGAAAAGAGCGAGGTGTTGCGTTCGCGGATAAGCATCGATGCATTAGCGAAGATGACTTCATCGGCCGTAAGAGCTGCGAGCGGTATAAACATTACTCCTCGCTGCCGCCGCCTCCTCCTCCTTCTTCAGCTCGTTGTCTTGGAGTACGCGGGTCTCTTCTCTGCCGCGAAGATTGCATCTTGAAGCAAAACGAAATAATGGAAGTGTGTTGCCGCGCGCCGAGCACAATGATCCGATGGAAGTTGCGTGATAATGACTTCAAGCCTAGGACCATTACCATTGCCACATATAGCAATCTGGCACTTTGTAATGGCTTATAATAATAACAAAGATTGTAAGAAAAAAAAACGCCGTACGTACATGGATGAAGAGGTTATAAGAGATTAAATATGATTATATCTACTTTTACGTTCCGAAAAACCAATTCTGAAGAAAATCGCAAATAGAATAATGTGAATAAATAAGGGTGAATAAATAATTGCGTTTATTGAGAACAATGGAGTGTGTATTTTATCTTAGTCTCGTATTTACAATGAATGGCGATTCGATGAAAATAATTATAGCATTTGTTCGATCTTTTTTTACGATTAACATGAATTAAGTATACAATAAAAAACGTCGATAATAGTTACAGCTACCCAACATTCTTTAAACACGGGCTTCCATCTTTATCGATAGATTAGATGCTCCCTGAGCCCAAAAAAAGTTTAGGTTCACTCCTTGCCCGATGCGGGATACGACGTGTGGATGGGAAAATTTTAGAGGAAACAAATATTCCCAAACAAAATGGGAATTTTGGATTCACCAGTCATGATTGATACGCAGAGCGTAACAAGCTGCATTACATTGGCCAAAGTCAAGGAAGCTTCTTTGCAATGACCAGCACCATACCAAACTAAAATCTTAAAATAAATGGAATGTTCGTTGTGGCTTTCTTTACAAACATAAAGATGTGGAAAAGTTGAAATTGACAAACTATTTTTATGTAGTTTAAAAAAAAGTCGAAAATCCAAGAATACGCGTTTAAAATTTTTTCCTTCTCCTTCGATTTTGATAGATCTTCTGAAAGTAATTGAACAATTAATATCTCATATCTATATTGAGGTTCAAGAAATGTTTAAAAGTTACCTGAATTTACGAGTTAAGTGTATCGTCTTAACTGTTTTATATTCGATTCAACTGTGAAGTGGTGCATACATCTTTCTGGTAGATTCCTATTCAAATTACCATTCTCTCCGTAGGTATTGTTAAACCTACGGTTCCTCCCATTTCGTTCCGGAATATTTGTTTCCTAGAAAGTTTGCCTATCCATACATCGTATCTCGCATCGGGCAAGAAGTAGGTCCAAGTCCTTTTCGGAATCGGCGAGTACTCGACCCATTGATGAAAATGAAAGCAGCCAGTGTTGTAAAAGTGAGGGGTGGCCGTTATTTATTGTACTAACTCTGCTCCATTATCGTTTTGTTATTACCTGTTTTAACAATTGTTTCTTTTACTAAACGAGTGTTTTAATAATTTTATTTAGGGGAAAATGATAAACATTATTCTGATGTGAACACTAACAACTTTTTTCTCGAAAACTATTGAGATTAGAGAAAAAGTTTATAGAACAGAAATGTCTAAGAATTGATCACACAATATCCAAACAATTTTCAGTATTTTTCATGATAATTTAGAAAATTGGTTTCTTCGAGTTTCCAAAATCATCTCGATCGATCAATTCTATAAAAAATTTTTGTTTTATAAACTTTTTTACTAAAATCAATTGTTTTCGAAAAAAAATTAGATCAGTTTATAAAAAAAAATAGTTTTGCAACTATTCTATTAAAATTAGTTCATGAACATTAGTTCAAAACATTAGTTCAAAACTTTAGTTCATGAATTAGTCCTAAGGTTGATAATATCAAAAAAATCGAAGTCGGTGCATTTGGCAAAGACAAAAAGTTTTAATTTTTTTTTAAATCTGAATTTTAAAGAACTTACGCTATAATTCGCCATTCTGGAGTCTTCAAACTCTCTTGAGACGTTCAAATTTTGTTTTAACGATGCTTCATGATCCAGCACTATGAAACTGATAGAAGACAGCGCCGATTACACGTTTTTATAACAAATTTCATTATTTACTTACTTACGCTATGACTTCTATGATATTTTAATATTGATAGCGTCAGGTTTGATAAGAAAATTTGATAAAACTTAATGATCAATACTTTTTAGAAAAATGACGCAAGATTCAACGCTATTATCTCACATCGGTATTACGGGATAATTAAAAATAGAAGAAAAAATTCCAAATTATTCAACGAAATTGTTTCGTGTTCTTATTGCTGCGTAAATGCAAAAAATGCAATATAAATTTTTACTAAAAATTGAACAAATGCAATTTGCTATATAAACGTCAGCTGGCTTGGTTTACTTTTCAAGTGTTATAATGCACTCGTGTACACCAAACTTACAAATAAGTTTAAGAGCTACAATCAATTTTCGAATTTCGCGTTTCGAATTTTCAAATTTTTAGTTCAAATAAAGGGACTGCTTAGTATTTTGGCAAAGATTATTCAATAGTCCAATTACTAGTACTATCTACTGTTTCTCTCTCACTTTCTCTGCCGTGTAATACATCATTGTCTTGGAACTCGCTTATTTCGCACAACACGACAATCAAGCGTTTATCGTATAGCTTACTTATGCGCTAGCTCGAGCATAATCGGCAATCTTTATCACGGGCTTTGATTGCACAGCTGCGGGCTAATATACGCCCATGCGCCATAAGAGAGTTCGAAGAGACTCGTGCCTGCTATCCGCGTTTATTTAATTTGCATACGCGCGGACGTTGTAACAACATAATTTCGAGTCAATTTTCTTAATTGATTATGGTATTGTTCATCGAGTATAATAATTTTCGATAATGATTGGCTGTGCACGGCCACGCAGGCATATAACTTTTAGCTTTGTGTATATACAGTTAAATCGAGCTCAAACGAGAATCGATGCAAAAAATCAATATAATAAAGCTGCCTTCTTTATCCGCTGGTAAGGATAGTAATCGTTGCGGGCTTCTGAAATTTGACGCTGTCTCTCCTGCGTGCATCGGCGCTGAATTCGACTAATGCTGCTTAGAAAGTGCTACCATCTGCGGTGCAGTTGAAAACTACGTGCTTAATTGCAGTCTCGAATCACTCATCAAATTATCCCATTACAATTTAACGACATTTTCATTTTTTGAAAAAAATTGTTTGGAAAATTTTGAATACTAGTTGCGTCAAAATTTTTTTTACTTTATTCAGGCAAGTGACGAGCATATACCTAATCTAATCTCAACCTAATTTACGCCTAATTTAATCTTGATAGCATGGAAATTTCCAATCCTTCTACAGTGGCTTTTAAAAGTAGCAACGATGAATTTTTTCATCAAAAAACTAGTTAAAGAAAAGTTGTTCAATTTTTATGAAGTCATTCTTCAATTCTTTCGATGAAATGTTCTAATGTTCCATAAATAATCATAAAATAAGTCCAAACCTGAAAAATAGCAGAGTTTACGCAAACGACGCGGTAATAAATGATCACAGATCTCTCGTGCTTGACAGTTTGCAAGCGCACCAAAAGTTCAACGATCATTTCGTTTATGAATGGCGGCGAGGGAGCGCGCTTTATAATTGTCAGTTGCAGCGTGCACGCACGAGTATATTTGTACAGTTTTTCAGAGTCATTGAATTTCGCAATGGCTGGTTTTTTCCTCTGTGTCTCAATTCTGCATGGAAGCATCGGGCTGTGGTGTCTAATTCTGCAGCTCGACTTTTTTGGCTTCTCTTCTCACAGAGCGCGATGCACTGCACTCTCAGAGTGCACAAAAAGCTCACGGTTTTGTCGAAAGTGTCTGTCTACGTCGTCGTCGTCGTCGTCGCTATTGTACTTTGCCATTAGTGCTGCTGCTGCTACTACTACACGTGCACTTACAGATTCGCCAAGTGTACGCGTATACGTACAGGTATTGTAAATTGCCGCTAGAAAGAGCGAGAAAGTGAGAAGAAACGTGTTGCGTTTTACGCGCGCGCGCCTTTCTTCTGCGTTAACCCTTACAATATACATGCGCCTCCGTAAGTCTTTCAGCGCACATAAAGTCGCTGTGCGCCGCTATATATGTGTTTTGTGTCGTGCGTACACATCGATTACATTGTACCACGTATACTATAAACGGCATGCATGCACTTTATATGTGCCGGTGTATATATGTGTGTGTGTGTGTTTGTGTGAATGCTTCATGTGTCTAACAACTCGACTCGGCATGAGAGGAAGAGAGAGAAAAGTCTTACCGCTCGTCGTCGTCGTCGTCGCCGTCGCTTAAAAGCAAATTTACGACAAATTTGCATGCGATTTTAGCGATGCCGCACGCTGAGCTTATATCGGGACAGCTTGGCGTATATATTATATAGCTGCGTTTCGTCTTTTAGCTGCAGCAGCGGCAGCGGCCGATAATTTACGCGGCTTTTGTCAGGCAGCACCTCGCTCGTATATGCATACACGTACGGTACGTACACTACAAATTAACGTTTTGCCGCGCGGTCGTCGTCGTTGTTGTTGCGCCTCGAGGATTGTTGTATTCGAGCGCGCCCGGGACACTTTTGAGTCGCGGCGCGGCGCATTGCCCTGAGTTATAGCGCATCACCTGTCCAGCGGCTACATTACTGCTATTATATAAACGTTTTTTTCTTTTTTGCTTCACCCAAAACTGCGCATACCTGCATAATTTTTCCTTGATCTCTCTACAAAAATATTTTCGCTCGTATCTTCTCGAGATAATCGAGATTTCAATTGCAATTTTACAATTGACAATTGACTCATTTTCGCGTGGAATAAACAGCCTAAGTATATAAGGGGCAGCATCGCTCGAGATCTCGAGACAGCTCGCAACTCTTTGGCAGCAGCAGCAGCAGCAGCAGTTCCCCAAGCGCGATAAATAATTCAGCCGGACTGGACGGGCAATTTGGCAGGAGCGTAACGTATGTATAAACACGTATAAAGCAAAATGAAGTAGAATCAACACACAACGAGCGCGTAATTCTCGGTAATATATTTATTTATATATATATATATATATTGGAAGCATCGCGCGTTCACATAGAACTGCACACACACTGCATTACACGTAGCCCGGAGGAGGCTAAAGTATATACCTCTGATACTCGAGGATACGAGGTAGCTCGCCAGCTCCGAGTCGCTTATCAGCTGGCATCGTGTGTAGTGTACATATATATACGGGAGGATTCGTGCATGTGTGTGCGGGACTGAACTACGTGCAGCAGCGGCAGATACGGTACGCTCGTATCTCTCTCTCTCTCTCGCTCGCTCGCGTCGTCCCCCGGAGGGATAAATTTCGCGAGATTAGGATCGACGAGGTATACGTACGACGACGGCGGCGGCGGCCAAGTATATAGGTAGTCGGTAGTAGTTGCCCCTTTTCCGTGTATCTGACCGCTGTATTCCCAGAGGATCATTATAATCATTACCGTCGCTGCTGCTACCATCCGACGAGCTGGAGAGCTGCACTTTTATACCCACCTATACCTCTCGCTCGTGTACCTATACGTATAGATATATATATGCGTGCCGTAAGCTCCAGACCGTCTTCTTTTTCGCGTGTGTCTGCGTTATATAAAAGCGAGGCCTGGAAGCCGGCTACCGCGCGCACTGCAATTCTCTTCGCATTTATTCTATACATATATATTCTGTATATACCTCCGTCCTCTCCCCCGGGTCTTATCATATTCGCCGCTGCTTAATACGAATTATTCCGTTCCCGATGTTACCCTCGATGTATTTACGATTTGAGATGCTTCGCGGATGATCATCGATATGCTCTTATATATATAACTTCGCTCTCTAACCACTCCAAAGTGCGATCGTGCACTTAACGAGCATCCGATGCTCGCTTCGTCTTTTATTTTCCTATCTCTTTTTTCTCTCTTTCTTTCCAACGTTTTTATTAAAGAACGTTGTTCGCTTCGCGTAAGAGCCACTGGTACGATACTGCAGCGATATCTCAGATTTTATTTTGATGTGAAACTTCGTACGGAACGTTTGAAGAAAAACGAGTAGAAATATCGACTCTTCAGAGCCTAATGAGATTGATTTAAAAAATGAGTTATAAATACGTAAGAAAATGTAGGGATTTAGTTGGTAATGTAACAAGATTTACTATAAATAAATATATCGTATTTGATGACGAGCTTTTTGCTTTCATCAACAGATGGAGTATTGTGAACTCGCAAGTGACAAAATTATTCTCGTAGAGCATATAATCATTTGTCTCCGCGTTCATTGCATCTTATAGTATAAAGCACATTACGGCCCATCGATGCCATTAATCGCCTGTGAATCTACTTATATGCCTCATGCACCTTTGATTAATAGGATATATTTTAATGCGCACATTGACTCTCTCGATACTTTTTCGTGGATGTATACAAGGTACTTGCGTATGTATACATAAGTTAACGAGATATAACCCTCGAATGCACTTATGAGAGCGGTTCGCCTCATTTTTTATGCAATCGAAATCGTAAAACACGTTTAAACTAGAGAGAAAGCTCTGGTACATAGCAGCTCTCGTTTATAATATGCAGCACTGTATATTATTATATTACATACGGGCCGAGGCATCTCTCGTTCGTCGTCAGCGCGTCACAGGCGCGTTAATACGCTCCAAGGGTTATATAATGTAATGACGTGGCGAACGATTGTCATATAGTCCATTGTTGCCATTGTGTTGCAAATCAGCGCAGCAATAGGTGCACATTGCCAATAATGACGACTCTTCTCTCCAGGTCGGTGTTTACTCTCTCTCTCTCTCTCTTGCGCTCGCGCCACACACACCCCTTCACAGCCTTTTTTTTTCGTATGATAATTTTTTTCTCCCGACCTTTTCTCAAGGGGGGGCCCCGCGTGAATCGTCGTCGTCGTCGTCGTCTACCCTCCACGCGCGCAGGTAAGGAGCTCATGCTGCTGCTGCTGCTGCTTCCGATTCTCCTCACCGCGAAGTGTGTCTTGGGTTACCTTCGACTGTA